TCTCATCTTGGAAATGCCGCTGAGAAATGACTAAGATTCCTGCTGAATAATTTAGGTTTGTGTCGGCCCCCTAGGCTGTTTTTCGGGGATTTCTATGCATGCAGTTTTCGTAGCCCCTTTCGTTATAAAACTCACGTACTGAATCATGTAATAACGAGGAATAAACGCCAAGTGTAGCAGGGTGATTCATCAGGGAAACAAGTTTAACTTCCTATGTATAGTAGACATCTCGATCTTTGTCAAGTTTAAAGGTATTACTAAACGGTTTTTTAAATTTAAGTTTTTCAGTGTTTTTTGTTATTATCTTTAAATTTAAACCAAATGTTTTTATCTACCTACTACAAACCCTCAAATAAAATAGTAGGTAACAAAATCCCCTTTACTTTGATGTTTCAGAACGGTAGATGTAATTTCCAAATTGCTTCCTGGAACATCTTGTAGCAGATGAGAGTAGATGGATGGGATGCGATAGGAGAATGAAAAACGTCATAAATCCACCCCCCCTCGTTTTAATATTTTAAACGTGACTGTCAAGTGGCCAATTATGCTCGGGCATGGCCAACCCAGGGGTGTTCGATGCACTTCCAAACATGTGGTTTTCGTAACCGAATATGTTTATGCACCACGACCACTTGGTATTTTAGATACGCGGTAGCAGATATTGTTACTAATATGTTTGATAAATTGCTTTTAGGGGAGCCGATGTAATTAAATTTTTTATAGATACATAGATAGGTAGACAAAAATAAAGGGTGGACAAAGATTTTTTTGTCTCTTTTTAGCTATACGCTTTTAATTAAAAAAATTAATTTTAAACATTTTTAGAATTTTAAAACAATTTGAATTTTTTTATAATTTTAAAAATTTATCCTTCTCTTTTTAATATTTATACTAATGTGCGAATGTTCCTCACATTTTTTTGATTTTAAACTTCTGTGCGAATTTCTCTTATCCATTTTCAAATTTATTTTGCTTTAATTTGTTAATTTTAAAAATTTTAAAAATCCTAAAAATTTTGTAAAATCTTGTCAATTTTGAAAATTTAAAAAAATTGAAAATTCTGGATATTCCAAGTTATTATCCTTTTTATTAAAAAAATGTACATAATATTAAACATATTTGGAAGTCTAAAAAAAATTGAAATTTTTAATTTTGTTTAAAGATTTTTGTCAAAATTTTTTGATTTTAAACTTTTGGAAATTTTAAGAATCTTAAAAATTTCAAAAAATTCCGATAATTTTGTAAAATCTTGTGAATTTTAAAAATATTGAAAATTTTGAATATTCCAAGCTATGTAGGTATTCTCCTTACGCTTTTGTAAATTTAAAAAAAATACCTTTTTTAACATTTTTTGTATTTTATTATTTTTTTATATTCTTCATAATTTTGAAAATTTGTCCTTTCATTTTTAATATTATAACACTGTGCGAATTTTTTTTCACAATTTTTTGATTTTAAACGTCAGTGCAAATTTGTCCTATATTTTTTTTTATTTTACCCACTGTGGGAATTTGTCCTACCATTTTAAAATTTATTTTGCTGTACGAATTTGGAAATATTGTCCATTTGTTGATTTTAAATTTATTAAAAATTTCGATAATTTTGTAAATAATTTTAACCATTTTTAACATTTTACTCTTTTTCTCTTTACTGTGCGAATTTTCCCCACAATTTTTTGATTTTAAACTTGAAATTTTTCCCATAATTTTTTAAATTTATCCTACTGTGCGAATTTGTCCTACCATTTATAAATTTATTTTGGTGTACGAATTTTCAAATCTTGGTAATTTAGAAAATTTTAAAAAACTTGCTTTAAATTAAAAAAAACCTAATTTTAAACATTTTTAGCATTCTAAAAAATATGTCCTTCCATTTTAACATTTATACTACTGTGGCAATTTTTCCCACAATTTTTTGATTTTAAACCTGTCCTATAATTTTTTTAATTTATCCTACTGTGCGAATTTGTCCTACCATTTTTAAATTTATTTTGCTGTACGAATTTAAAAATCTTGTTTTTTTGTTAATTTTAAAAATTTTAAAAACCCTAAAAATTTCCATAATTTTGTAAAATCTTGTCAATTTTAAAAATCTTCAAAATTTTGGAAATTTTTTAGCCGTGTGCATACATTATTACACTTTTAATTTTTATAAAATTTACCTAATATTCAACAGTTTAAGAATTCTAAAAAAAAATTTAATTTTAAATTTGTTCTACCATTTTTAATATTTATGATACTGTGCGAATTTTTCCCACAATTTTTTTATTTTAAACTTCTGTGCAAATTTGTCCTATAATTTTTTTAATTCATCCCACTGTGCGAGTTTGTCCTACCATTTTTAAATTTACTTTGCTGTACGAATTTGGAAACCTTGTTAATTTTGAAAATCTTAAAAATTTCGATATTTTTGTAAAATAAACAATAAATTTACAGGTAAATGTATTTTCCTAAAATTACCAAAAAATACATGTTTCCTCCTAAAGGAAACTTTTTTTCAGAGATAATTTATGTGGATAATTAAAAAGTCTATAAACTGAACAGATGATAGTTTTCGATATTCTACCAATTATGAGGCTTCCTGTATAATAAAAACCTGTTCAAAGTGTCTCCAGATGTTTTCAAGGTCTATCTCGAACATATTTCACAATATTTCATTATCGCATTGCCCTTTAAATATGCTAAACATTTAAATTTGAAAAGCTTGGCAGGCTTTCAACTTTTGCGTTCTTTTCAGCCCAAACAACCAATATTTACGCGGTCGAAAATAATCGTAACGAAAATAGATTTGTAAATAAAAGTCGGGAAGTGGAATTTATTTTTAACTAATCACGCTGGCGTTGACCCATCTTCCTATTTAGTGCGGTAGGTCAAATAAAAATATGCACTGTGTTTTAATTGACGTTCTATTGACCTCGCCTGTCCAGCCCATTAAACAAATTACCAGACATTTCTTGATTTTTTTTCTTCATTTATTACCCAGTTTGAAAAGTGATTGTATTTAATTTTCTTATTAATTTGCAAAATTCTGATATAAAAGCAATTTTACGCCCATTTGAGTTTATTTAACGGATTTCAGGTTCATAAGTCTCTGAATTAATTTAATTTAGATATGAAACTACTTAGCGAGTAAACTATAAAACTTGATAAAATATCGTTGACCCTTCAATGCAATGTTATTTTTAATGTAACTCTGACGTATTCATTTTAATGAAATACGTCAAATACAATTTATTTTATCTTATAAACAACAAGTATTAATACTTTTAATAATTAATACTTTTAAAAATAATTGTGCTGGAAATAAAAACTTTATTATCATAGTTATTATTCTATTCAAATGTTCATTTTTCACAGCAAAGATCGCTAATTTTTTTAATAAAGTTACGAAAAAAATCAACATAAATTTTTCAAGGACAAAACTAAATTATCGCTTTTAAATATCAATTATTTATAACTTTTATGGTTTATAGTAACGCAAATAGGGATAATAATAATAATAAATTATATCGCTACTTATTTTTGTAAACAATACCCAGAAATAGACGCATTAAGTAATTGTCAATAATAACAAATACATTGTTCAAAATTATGAGAATTTTTTGTAAACAAAAAAATTCATCAACCTATTTTTTATATTTTTTCAGAATGATATAGGTATGATATAAAAACCTTTCTTAGGCTGTCAAATAATAATAATAATAATATCATTAATAGTCAAATTTTTTCGAAATTTTTTACAATTTTTTTAATTTTTCCCACAATTTTTTGATTTTAAATTGTCCTATAATTTTTTTATTTTACCAACTGCGCGAATTTGTCCTACCATTTTTAAATTTATTTTGCTGTACGAATTTGAAAATCTTGGCAATTTTAAAAATATAAATATTGAACATTTTGAATATTCCAAGCTATTATGCTTTTAATTTAAAAAAAATATATCTAATTTTAAACATTTTTGGCACTCTAAAAAAAATTTAAATGTTTAATTTTTTTTTAAAGATTGTCCCACATTTTTTTTATTTTAAACTTCTGTGGAAATTTGTCCTATAATTTTTATATATATCCCACTGTGCGAGTTTGTCCTACCATTTTTAAATTTACTTTGCTGTACGAATTTGGAAATCTTGTTAATTTGTTTATTTTGAAAAAATTTAAATTCTTGAAAATCTCAATAATTATTTAATTTCTTGGCAATTTTGATAATTTGTCCTTCAATTTTTTATATTTTTCCCACATTTTTTTTATTTTAAACTTCTGTGCAAATTTGTAGGAACCATTTTAAAATTTATTTTGCTGTTTGAATTTGGAAATCTTGATAATTTGTTAATTTAAAATTTTTTAAAAATTTCGATAATTTTGTAAAATCTTGGAAATGTCTTATATTAATTAATAATAATAAATTATATCGCTACTTAATTTTGTAAACAATACCCAGAAATACCCCAAAATTATGAAAATTTTTTGAAAAAAAATACAAACACTAAAAATTAAAAAAAAAAATTGTCAAAAAATATCGAAAAATTTCCTGAGGGTCAAAAGGGTAAAATGTCCAGAGATTTTTTCTTTCAAAAGGTATAATATTAAAGTGGTGTATTTTTACCATCAATAATAGTCTGTTCAACTAATTTGTTTGTGCAAAATATTTATCGACTTTAAATTGATGTAGCATAATTTTTATAAATAAAAAATCTACTATTATAATAATCATAACAAATTTTATCACTAGACAACCACTTATTCCTAGTAAACAATACAATAAACAAAACAACTTTCCTTACATAAAAAAAAACGAAAAAGTCTGGTTTGTATTTTATTTTTAAAGTTCGTTAAACGACCCAATAAAAAACAAAAGATAATTTATAAGATAAAACAAATAAGAATCATCACCTTGAAATAAAATACGTGAAAAAATTCGAGCTATTTATAGATGCATTTATGAAACACCTAAAGAATATTTAATCGAAAAATTATCTAACTCCCACAAATCTTTTGTTTCAGTGATGGAAGCCAGAAACACAGCAAACCTGGAAGCTGCGGTCATAGAAAGTGAGCTGCCCAGCTACACGATAGCTTCGGGGTTGCCTAGCTACGAGGAGGCAGTGGAACAGTTGAAGAAGGTGCAACGGGTGGTTCCCGCGAGCAAAACAAACGAAAACTGGGTGCCCAGGACACCGCCCACCCCGATACATTCCCTATCGGTGGCCAATCTGTTTAACCAATACTACAGAGGCCAAGAACAAGTGAAACCCGTGACGTGACAGCCTGCTAGATTACGACTTGAAACGTCAAAATTCAGTATTTCGAATTGGTGGAATTGTTTTGTCTAGTTGAACGAACCGATGTATTATTAACTTTTTTTACATTACTTTTGTTGACGACTGTACCATGATGTTTGTGTCAAGTAGAGTACGCATAGTTAAAAATAATTGTATTACTAAAATGGCTGTGTTTAGGTTTAGCTATAAATAAATAAATAAATAAATAAATAGTTGTAAGAGATGAAAAAACAAATAAAATCACTTTGTACGTACATATTTACTTGCGTAATTTACATAGAGTGTGAATTTATTTAACTAATTAAAAATAAAACCGCGTTTTACTTAAGAAGCAAGTGATAATTTAATTTAAGTCTGATGGCGACTTTGTCTGTAAATATTTGTTATTTTAATACGAAAAATTAAATTTTGTCTAAAATATTTTTACATGTTTTATTTTCGACCTAATAATACAATATAAGTGACATTATTTAAATTTAAATTATTATACTTATTAAAACTCACTTCAGTCGTGTCAAGTCGCCTATGAAAGGGTTAACGAATCGAAAGTAAAACACGCGAATTAAATTGAAATTTGTCTGATCGCAGGCGGCCGGCGTTGTCAAGGAAACGCAACACCTTGATCTTGAAGGTTAACTATTTTTAATTTGATTGTGCCTTTTTAATGTATTCCTGGTTATATTATCCTTTTTATAAACCGATTATAACGAAATAAGACATATGTGTATCTCGAAAATAATAAGTAATTTTAAAGTGGGATACCTGCACAGGTGTACTGCAGACAATGATTTTTATTCGTTTTGTCTACCACCTGGTTGAATAAAGTTTGTTAACCCATCCCTTGTCTTGTAATAATTATTATTATATACTTGATTTATAATTCTAAGAAACGGGTCTTTGTAGGTACGACAATTTTAATGGAATAATCCATATAATTAGGAGTAATTAAGTAAAGTGGTTGTTACTTACCTATTTCTTGAATGTATTCCACATTTTTTGGCCACAATTATTGCAAAAATAGTCGCAGAATCTCAAAATGAAAACACAAATGTCAAATTTCAAAACAAATGAATTGGCGCGTGCACTGCCATCGGCCTACTTGGATATTTTTGTTTTTGCATTCTACCAACCATTAAAATAAATATATGTCAATAAGAGAAATGATTAAAAATAAGTGTAGTTTGGTAAATTTTAACGAAAAATGTGAGTATTTTTATATTTCGGATGAATTTAAAATGCACAATAACAATTACATTCAAAGAAAGGTAAATTAGTTACAAACATAAATATCAAATTTCAAAACAAATACTGCCAAGTTGGCAGCAATGCCAACAACAATAATAACTGTCAATTTGAGGTAACATTTAAAATTTAGTGTAGTGTAGTGAATGTTTGTGTATTTTAATAAAAAAGCCAGTAATTTTATACTTTACGCGCATGGAAAATTCCCAATAACATGTGCAGCCAAAGAAAGGTGAAATAAGATAAAAAATAACAAGGAAATGTGAGTTAAAACACCTACAGATTGCAGTTGAACAATTTAAGGTAAACTTTTTTAAATTAATACCGGTTTTTAATTAAATAAAATAAATTTTGAATGTATAAGACAACTTTATTGCTACAATAAGACATAGACAATATACAGACAATTGTAACAATACAATAATAATAATTAATACAGTAATTCCTAAATTAGGGGATGTAGGTATACTTATTCTAAGGGGGGGGTAAAATATACAATGAGAAAAATCATACAAAGATGTATGCATTTATTTTAATATTGGGTTTGTCCTCACCTAGCAATGCTTGGTAGAAACAAACCCATTACATATCCTAAACATAAAATGATATAAACCTGAAATTGGCAATAAGTTTTTAAGTTTTGGAAGTAAGTAAATGAGGAAATTATGCTATAAAAGATCACAAACAGTGGAATAATTTCAGTTACGTGACTAGTTACTTCAGATTTTTAGAATTGTTGCATACTTGCAGCAAAATGGAATGAAAGAAATATTGATATGTTTTATTACCAACTTAAGACGATCACTATTATAGTCAATGGTGCATCTAATTTTGAATATTTCTCCAAAATTTAGTTGCCACATTACCAAAACTACATAATTACTATTCTAGATTCTTCTAAATATGAATTGACCTAACCTTTCCTAGATACAGACATTATGTAAATATGTGTGTATAGGGTGGCAAAAAAGGAACGTTTTATAGCTCCACATGCAAAAGTTACACTTTGACATTTTAATACAAATAATTGAGGTTATCTATCTGTCATTTTAACACTAATTTTATAATTTTAAATAAACGTTAAAGTGACAGATAGATAACCTCAATTATTTGTTATTTACTGCTAAGGTGGGACTTTTAAGTACTTAAGTCAAAAGGGGTTCTTTTTAGGCCACCCAGTATGTAGTTGAGCAAAATAAATAATCCATGCATTGTTTGAATTAAAACTAAACCATTATAGCATAAATAATACAGTCTCAAATATATCAACATTAAAATTAATTATATTAATGTATAAAATAAATAACCTCGACTCATACCAAATAGGCCTCAACCGTTGGGAAGATTTTTTTGTAAAAATACAATTATTTACACCACTTTTTCTGTCAGTTCAGTATTTACAGTAAAGGTTGAGGGGCATTTGGCATATGATTTTAACGCGTGTGTTTGATAATTTAAAACACCGCCAGAGGGCGTCAAACTTTGTACATAACCTCTTTGTTGGGTGTTTTGACGTATGACATTATCAAGTAGGCGAATTGACTACCAATAAAATTCGCGCGAATGTTTCAAACTAAAAAACGCACGAATCAAAATCGTACAGTTACAGGGGCGTATCGGTGGATTAAAAAATTGGAAACGGAAACGTAAAATGGGGGCAGGGCCGGATTTTAAACGTTGCTGTCGAAGACGGGGGCCCCGCTGAACGCCATTGGCTGGGCGTTGGCCACCAGTCCCGAGTGGGGGGTACTTTTTACCCCGGCCGGCCCTGTCTCCGTCACGGCCGCCTGTCGCATATCGTCGGCGGAAGCCCTAAAAATTTCGGTTTTTTTTTGTTTAATGCGTTTCCGTCGGTTTTACTTTGTTTTGTCGATAAAATCAGCTTTCAGTAGTTTTATTAAAAATGGAGCAAAAAGATTGTTTTCTTTTTCTTTTTTTAATGCTTTTGTTCTTGGATAATTAAAAAATGAATTTTCTTAAAGTTAAAAAATGTAGAAATATGATTTTTTCGACCCAACAAATAAGCTATTTTTACTAAAATCAACAAAATACCTAAACTATTTAAAAGGTAAAGATAATACGCAATTAATAATAATACTAGTAATCTACTTTAATATAATATACCTACATGGTTTCACATTAGAAGTTTTAATGAAATTTTAAAATCGTTAATAATCCATTTAAGTCTAATACCCTTCTGTATTTATTTATTATTTGCTTAAGCAATGATTAGAAATTTAGTACCTATTTTAAAAACTCCATAACCTCAAAATTAATTTTTTCATCGGTTTTTTTATTTCTGTTTACTCAGATGAAATTAGGACTAGTTCGCAGGTTAAACTTTAAACATTCAATTTGTGTAAATAAATCCTATTTACAATTTGAGCACATAACCTAAAATTTGAAAGAAATGCACTAGATTATGTCATAAAAGTTGTCCAATTATGTTTGAATTTACCTTTATTACAAAAATGACGTAATAAACAATTAATAAAAACGCCAAATTAACAATTTCCATTGTTGAATTTGTCATTTTTGTAATTAAGCTAAATTTAAACAAAATCTGGCAACTTTTTTTGACAGAATCTGGAAACGCTGTTGTTACCAACCATAACAAAAAAAATAAATTAGGCAACCGGATTAGCCTTAAGTTCCTTAGACTTAAATGGATTGTAAACCTTCTAAAATATAAAATCGATATTTTTTTTCGAATGTGACGATTTTGTTAGTATAAATCAACGAAAAATCAAGCAAGCAGACACAGACGTGCAAACACCACACCGAGCATGCGTAGAAAACAAAAAGCCATCGGTTGGGGTACTTTTAGTGGCGCGGGGGCAGCGTCGCGGGGGTGGTGGATTTAGGCGCCGCCGCCGGCACCTCCAGCGCCCTCTGGCGGCGCTTATGTGGGACGCCACACGTCCGGGTCCTCCATCAAGGTCGTGTGGTGGTCGGTGTTGCCGATGTTACCGCCGCCGACCATCCCGGGCGACGTTGCCATCGATGGCGAGCCGACCGCCGCCGCCGCCATGTCCTGTCTGTCCGCCCTTCCAAGGTTAGAAAGATAGGCAACACGCAACGCACGCGGCAAGTGTGACACAATGTTAGTTATGTTTTTAAGTGAGATGTTTTTTGTTATTTAAAACGCTGTGGCTCCCGTCCCGAGGCGGGACTTAAGTTCAGTCCCGATTGACGTCATAATTTTAAGATTTGTTATGTTATAATAAAATAATAATAATAATAAATTGTACCTGTATACATGTTAAGGGCACTTTAGTTACGTCATAAAACCAAACCAACCCAAACTCAACAACACAACCCAACCGACCCCGCCCCATTGGGCCCCCCCCCCGCCCCATTGAGCAAAAAACCCTACTAAAATGGGCAAATTTATGTTACGATAAAAATAAAACACTTTTTAACAAAGAAACAACAAATTTATAAAATAAAAAAAATAAAAAAAGTTTGACAACTTCTAGTGGGATCGAACCCGGTACCTCTCGCATGCCAAGCGACCGCCCTACCATCTAAGCCATCGAGCTTGACACAAATTATAAAATCTCAGGGAATAAAAACGGATTTACAGTGTGTGACGTCAATCGGGACTGAACTTAAGTCCCGCCTCGGGACGGGAGCCACATCGTATTTAAAAATCTTAGTTATTGTTGATCTGAGGTTAAATGTTATATTACCAAAATTGTTGGTCTTTCAATTCTCTACAAAAAAGATGGTATGCATTTTTTACGTAGAACCAACAATAACGGACATATCCCTGATCTTAAGATAACATTTTTTATATGGTTTCTGAAAAAACATCAACGCGTTTTTTTGTCAATAACTTATTTATTGTTGATCTGAGGTAAAAATGGTATATTATGAAAAATTGATGGTCTTTAAATTCTCCACAAAAAATATACTACGAGCCCTAACCACATAATGTTCGGACACTTCATAATTTATACAGAAATTTTTTTCGTGAATACTAACTCAAAATTATTAGAAGTTATGAAAAATTCAGCTTATTTTGGCATATACCCCTCGAAGCGATTTTTATTTTTAAAAAGTTTACCTTTTATTTTTAGCTTTTAAAAAAAGGCTAACTTTTTAACTTTTTTTTGCATGAGTAAAAAAAGTTATAAATGGGCCCATTAAAAAGAACATAAAATATTATACAAACCCTGGAAATTTGGTAAAAATTGTATAAATAATAAGAAAGTTATAGCGATATATATATCTGCAAAATCTCCCGTTTCCTAAGAAAATTGCAAAAACTCTTTAAAAACAGCATTTTTAAATTACTTATACTTTTTTATAACTTATTTATTTTTTACCAAATTTTCAGGGTTTGTATAATATTTTATGCTCTTTTTAATGGGTCCATTTATAACTTTTTTTACTCATACAAAAAAAAGTTAAAAAGTTAGCCTTTTTTTAAAAGCTAAAAATAAAAGGTAAACTTTTTAAAAATAAAAATCGCTTCGAGGGGTATATGCCAAAATAAGCTGAATTTTTCATAACTTCTAATAATTTTGAGATAGTATTCACGAAAAAAATTTCTGTATAAATTATGAAGTGTCCGAACATTATGTGGTTAGGGCTCGTATACATTTTTTTCGTAAAACCAACAGTAACGGACAAATCCATTATGTCAAAGTTAAATGTCAAAAACCACTTGGATTAACCTGAACTTAATAGGAATATTTTTGTGTTAAAATTGTATGAGATGGTATTATAATATTCACAAAAGCAATTGTTTATTTACAAACACACACAAAAAATGATTTTATGTAAATGGTAATTTTAAAAAAATTCAAAAACCGTTTGATATTTAAATTAAAAACAAAAATAACTTACTTCCTCCCAAGGGCCATCATTCCATAAATGACACCGGTGGTAAATATAAGTCCACTTCCAAAAATAGTACTAAATCCTATGTCAAGTAAAATAGGCGGTACTGCCAACCTAAAAAACGCAAATTTAAACAGTTTTTATTTAAAAAAAATGTCTTCTTACACGACGTAGGCCAAGGCGCGGTTCCAGTAGGGGCGCTGCTCCACCATGTCACTCAGTTTTTGCACGTGTTCCACGAACATGCAGCAGCAGGGCGCCTCGCAGGAAATCACTATGAATCCTGCTACTATTTGCCAGATACCTGCCAGAATGGCGTCCAGATTGCCGGTGATTATGCCCACGCAGTTCCATACGCCCAGAAATATGGCAACTGTGCGAAGAAAAATATTTGGAAACACAATTGTCGCGGAATGTATCTTTTACGGCTTACGTCTTATGTCTTACGTCTTACGTCGACAAATTACAGTGCTTGATTGGTTGACGTAAGACGTAAGACGTAAAAGGGGCTTAAAATATCTTACGTTACAAATTTATTTCAAAAAGATCAAAATAATAAAAATTGTTGATTAAAACAAACTAAACCAGTTATAAATGTAATTATAATGTAATTGTGTTTGTGTTTAAATTATTGTAGTTAAAATCATATAAAAAAGTAGTTAAATATAGGTGTCTATGGCCCAGAAGAGACAATATTCCTGGCGGATAATAATCTTCGGTTTGAACAGAAATAATATAAAAGAAATTAAAATTTTATGTGAACTCACGTGAATGTTGTCCTAACATCAAATAATTTTTATTTTTTTATTTCCCCTTTATTTTTAAAATTTCAAAAAATTTTGATCTTATCCAAAAATAATGTGTGATTTAATATTTGTAAAACCAAAAACTTTACTTTTTTACTTAATGGAAATGAATTTTACTTTAAAATCTGATATTATTTTTGGCATAGTTATCCTTTTATATCGATATTATACAAGGTGTCCCTAAACTTAGTGGCATAAATTTAGGAGCAGATTAAGCAAGTAAAAATAAGACGAAAATCTAAATAAATATTTTTCCTAATTACATATGTTTAAAAGTTACAGGGTGATAAAGTGTTACTTATCATATCAGTTTTTTTAATATAACTTCTACAATAAGCTTAAAGCAACCCCCGTTTCTACGACACTGTGTTCACTCAAACAATTGTAATTATGTGTGAATATGTGTTTTGGTAGTAAGTGACTGTTCGCAAAATATCACCTTTCCAAGTCTACCATAGTAGAAGTTATATTAAAAAAACTGATATGATAAGTAACACTTTATCACCCTGTATCTTTTAAACATACGTAATTTGGAAAAATATTTATTTAGATTTTCGTCTTATTTTGACTTGCTTAATCTGCTCCTAAATTTATACCACTAAGTTTAGGGACACCTTGTATAATAATTAACAAGTAAATTATCAAAAATAAATGTTACTGTCAATTTCACAGTGTCAGAGTATTTAATTGAGGTATTCAGCAGAAGTACCATTTTTAAATACTACAAACACTAAATCAAATTGGCATAAGCTACCAACTTAATAAAAAAACACGAGTCCAAATATAATTTAAAAAAATGTTTGTTTTTTTATCTAAAAAACACAACAAATCGAGGCACGTTTGTAACATATGCTGCTTATAAAATATACATATAGGTATGTATGTTGTGGTATTATTGTAATATAATTAACAATTATTGATAAAAAAATTGGGAAAAAAATGTAAGTTAACATACTATAGATAAAACCCTAGATTAAAGTAGATTAAACAATAACAAAACAAATAATGGAGATGAATGATTTGGGGGGGCGTTAAACGCATATATTATCTTAAATTTGCGTGGTCATTTATAAATTTATTGGACCATAAAGTGCTAGTCTATTTAAGTCTATTATTTCCAACGGTATAAACTAATTAACAAATGCAATTCTGCATATTTTAAAGAATGCAAAGATTTAATCACTCAAGACAAAGGGGCTAAAAATAACCCAATAATGAAAGAATCCTTTATCCTTTTAACTTACGAAAGCCTCCTACAGTTCCGACCCCTCTTCCGCCGAATTTCATCCACCAAGGGACATCGTCCTTGGCGACGGGGTCCTGCCCTGGACGGGCCATCAGGGCCGAGATCTTGTCCTGCAGCGACTGAAAAAAACTTTTACCTTTATTGCCCGAACAAAGCGGTTTTTTCGGACAAAACTCACCATTGTTGCTAGGAAGCGTTCGCGGAGATTTCGATTTTTCACTCAAGTTGTCACTTTCAACTGTCAAAACGCGCCGCACAGCTGTCAGTTGAGATGTCGGTTTGGCGACGTCGGATCGATACGCGCAGCGAGCTGTTTTACCGGCATTTGGGTCGAGAGCAGGGCCGGCCTCAGGATATTTATATTTTGAATAATTTGAGAATTCACAGAGAATTAACCATTATTGTTTAATCTCACGAAAAATTTAATAAAACTAAATGAGTTTGACCTAGACTTTTATTGTGTTTTGATCTTTCATAATTAAGTAGATGTTACAGCTCAGGTTTCACATTTTTAACCGCAATTAATTATTTTTTACAATGTTTTAAAAGTCTAAAACCTATCCTCCGTGAGAAATATAAAATATTTTTAAAAATTAAAAGAAATAATTTTTATAACCATTTATGTAGGTGTTACAAAAATTGATCCTATCCTCCGTAAATCTGTTTTTGCTTTAAATCATTTTAAATAAGCAAAAACCTCTGTTTACGACATTATAGACAGTTAGAATTTATATGCAGATGATAGTGTTGCTGTTTTATAATTCAAAAGTTTAAGTTCAATAATTTGCTATTTAAAAACCTATCCACCGTGAAGTGTAATATCTCAGTAAGTAGATATTTTTAATAAATATTTTATGTACATATGTACAATTGTATTGTCAGTACCTATCTACAAAAAGTAGACTTAGATAATTAAAAAATGAATTTTCTTAAAGTTAAAAAATGTAGAAATATGATTTTTTGGACCCAACAAAGAAGCTATTTTACTAAAATTAACAAAATAACTATTTAAAGGTAAAAATAATACGCCATTAATAATAATACTAATAATCTAATCTAATAATAATATGCATGGTTTCACATTAGAAGTTTTAATGAAATTTTAAAAGCGTTAATAATCCATTTTATGTACATAATTAACGTAATATATTAAAAATATATTTAAAAAAAATATTTTCCCAATGAACTCCCTTTAACCATTCAATTTGTGTAAATAAATCCTTAGTTAAAATATTTACAATTTGAGCACATAACCTAAAATTTGAAAGAAATGCACTAGATTTTGTTATAAAAGTTGCCAGATTTTGTTTGAATTTACCTTTATTACAAAATGACGTAATAAACAATTAATAAAAACGCCAAATTACCAATTTGCATTGTTGATTTTGTTATTTTGTAATTACGCTAAATTTAACTTTTTTTGACAGAATCTGGAAACGCTGGTTGGCCAACCATAACAAAAAAAATTAAATTAGGCAACCGGATTAGCCTAAAGTTCCTAGACTTAAATTATAAACCTTTTAAAATATGAAATCGATATTTTTTTTCGAATGTGACGATTTTTTTAGTATAAATCAACGAAAAAATCAAGCAAGCAGACACAGACGTGCAAACACAACACCGAGCATGCGTAGAAAACAAAAAGCCATCGGTTGGGGTACTTTTAGTGGCGCGGGGGCGGTGTCGCGGGGGTGGTGGATTTAGGCGCCGCCTCCGGCACCTCCAGCGCCCTCTGGCGGCGCTTATGTGGGACGCCACACGTCCGGGTCCTCCATCAAGGTCGTGTGGTGGTCGGTGTTGCCGATGTTACCGCCGCCGACCATCCCGGGCGACGTTGCCATCGATGGCGAGCCGACCGCCGCCGCCGCCATGTCCTGTCTGTCCGCCCTTCCAAGGTTAGAAAGATAGGCAACACGCAACGCACGCGGCAAGTGCGACACAATGTTAGTTATGTTTTTAAGTGAGATGTTTTTTGTTATTTAAAAATCTTGCTTATCGTTGATCTGAGGTTAAATGTTATATTATCAAAATTGTTGGTCTTTCAATTCTCTACAAAAAAGATGGTACGCATTTTTTACGTAGAACCAACAATAACGGACATATCCCTGATCTTAAGAAGAACATTTTTATATGGTTTCTGAAAAAACATCAACGCGTTTTTTCGTCAATAACTTATTTATTGTTGATCTGAGGTAAAAATGTTATATTATCAAAATTGATGGTCTTTAAATTCTCCACAAAAAATATACTATACTTTTTTTACGTAGAACCAACAGTAACGGACAAATCCATTATGTCAACGTTAAATGTCAAAAACCACTTGGATAAATGATTAATTTCTAAAAACCTAAACTTAATAGGAATATTTTTGTGTTAAAATTGTATGAGATGGTATTATAATATTCACAAAAGCAATTGTTTATTTACAAACACACACAAAAAATGATTTTATGTAAATGGTAATTTTAAAAAAATTCAAAAACCGTTTGATATTTAAATTAAAAACAAAAATAACCTACTTCGTCACAAGGGCCGCCATTCCATAAAGGACACCGGTGATAAATATAAGTAAATTTCCACCAATAGTAATAACTCCCTTGTCAAGTATGATAGGCATTACCGCCAATCTAAAAAACGCAAATTTAAACAGTTTTTATGTAAAAAAGGTTGTCCTCTTACGCGACGTAGGCCAAGGCGCGGTTCCATAAGGGGCGCTGATCCACCATGTCGCAAAGTTTTTGCACGTGTTCCATGCAGCAGCACTGGGCCTCGCAATAAGACACTAAGAACCCTGCGACTATTTGCCAGATTCTCGCTACAATGACCTCCACATTGCTGGTGAGTATGTAGTCGTAGTATAATAAGGCCATAATTATGGCAACTGTGCGAAGAAAAATATTTGGAAACACAATTGTCGCGGAATGTATCTTTTACGGCTTACGTCTTATGTCTTACGTCTTCCGTCGATAAATTACAGTGCTTGATTGGTTGACGTAAGACGTAAAAGTGGCTTCAAATATATTTTAAATACTAAAAACACTAAATCAAATTGGCATAAGCTACTAACTTAATAAAAAAACACGAGTCCAAATATAATTTATATTTAAAAAAGTTTATTTTTTTATCTAAGAATCGGGCACTGTTTTTTAACATTTTTCGGCTTTAATTTCAAAAACACTCGTTTGTAACATATGCTGCTTATAAAATATATACATAGGTATGTATGTTTTGGTACTATTGTAATATAATTAATTGATAAAAAAATTGGGAAAAAAATGTAAGTAAACATAAATTCTAGATTAAAGTAGATTAAACAATAATAAAACAAATAATGGAGATGAATAATTGGGGTGACGTTTACAATATCGAAATTCATTATATCGAATTCAAAATATCGAACAATTTTTATCGAAAATCAAAATGTCGAAAATCAAAATATCGAAAATCAAAATATCGAAAATGATAATATCGAAAATTAAAATGTCGATTTGAAAATGTCGAATAATTAAACCGTCGGACGGACGTAGAAATGTGTGTGCTCAACCGTCGCATATTTTAACCTCATTTTCAACTAGAGGCTAAATGTAGCAAAGTATTCCTCAAGGTTATGACGAATAGCTGTCATTTTGGTTATGCAGGTACACTGCATTGTGCCATACCAAACTAACCCAAACTTAACAACCCAACCCAACCGACCCCGCCCCATTGGGCCCCTCCCGCCCCATTGTCACAATCCAGCCTGCCCTTAGATATATTATACCTCTATTGCTCAATGGGGCGGGAGGGGCCCAATGGGGCGGGGTCGGTTGGGTTGGGTTGTTAAGTTTGGGTTGGTTTGGTATGGCACAATGCAGTGTATCGATATTTTAATTATTCGACATTTTCAAATCGACATTTTAATTTTCGATATTATCATTTTCGACATTTTGAATTTTCGATATTTTGATTTTCGACATTTTGTATTTTCGATATTTTGATTTTCGATAAAAAGTGTTCGATATTTTGAATTCGATATAATGAATTTCGATATTGTGAACGTCACCCGAATAATTGGGGGGCGTTAAACGCAAATATTATCTTAAATTTGCGTGGTCATTTATAAATTTATTGGACCATAAAGTGCTAGTCTATTTAAGTCTATTATTTCCAACGGTATAAACTAATTAATAAATGCAATTCTGAATATTTTAAAGAATGCAAAGATTTAATCACTTAAGACAAAGCGGCTAAAAATAACCCAATAATAAAAGAGTCCTTTATTCTTTTAACTTACTAAAGCCTGCTGCCATTCCAATCGATTTTCCGCTAAATATCAAAAATAATGCGACTTCGTCCTTGAAGCCGGGGCCCTGCTCTGGACGGGCACTCACGTCCGAGATCTTGTCCTGCAGCGACTGAAAAAACTTTTACCTTTAGCGCCCGATTGGCGGTTTTTTCGGACTCACCTGAGACAAGGGATAGATTTTGTAACTCATAGTTGCGACTCGCAACTTGCGAGGAAACGTTCGCGGAGATTTCGATTCACTCAAGTTGTCACTTGTTGTCAACCAACCAACCCACACGTTTAGATAGGATGGTGCGCATGTTGGACAGGGCTTGACGAGTGTTTTTAAATCTTTAACGTGCTGCTAAAATTCTTGTTTTTGCGATGCTGTTGGATGTTAAATGCTCTATTTTTTGTTTAACTCGTTGTTTTTGTGTTCGGTAAGGTTCGAAATACTTTTCAGTGTTCAAATTATTGTTATTGCGTTGTGTTAACCTGTTCTGTTTGTTTATTATTGTTTTTGTGTTGCGTTAACTTGTTTTGTTTGTGTTTTAGTTTGCGTCGTGCCATTTGCATTTATTAAAATGCGGTGTGGCATATTTGGATGCAATGCAATTCTGACAACCAGTCCAAGAAAAACATTAAATTTAATCGATTCCCGAAAAAGTTTGATTTATGGAAACAATGTTTAAATGCCACAAAAAGAATAGACAATATTAACGTTAAGACCGCTTTTGTTTCCACTAAACATTATCTGGACAGTGACTATATAAGTTTAATTTAAAACACCAACGCTTAAACTACAGCCCCAAATGTTATCAAGGACTGAAAGCATCTATTATCCATATTTAACACTTTCTTCAATATTAAGTTTAATAAAAACGCACTATGTCCAGATATTTCTCTATTTTCTTTGATAATATTACTATTATTCATGTATTCTCACGGCAACTACTCATCAAGTGACGTCATGCGCGGCACGAACCAAAACTCGTACACGGAAGCATCTATGGGGGAAAGGGGTATAGCCAAGGTCAAATCATATTGTGACCGTGAAAATAAAGGTTCATGAATAATGGCTAATGGATACTTAAATCAATAATTAAACGTCAAATCAATGCGCATGTCACATGATGTTTGTGAATTGTTTTTAAAATTTAAACTATAAGTAAATTAAACACGCCCAAAGCAATCGAATCAAATATAAAATATTATTAAAAATTAAAAGAAATAATTTTTATCATCATTTACAAAAATTGATTCTATCCTCTGTGAATCTGTTTTTGCTTTAAATTTTATGCAACGGATGGAGCTTTAATCATTTTAAATAAGCAAAAACCTCTGTTTACGACATTATAGATGCATGTGATTCCTGAAGGTCAGTTAGAATTTATATGCAGATGAGAGTGTTGCTGTTTTATAATTCAAAAGTTTAAGTTCATTAATTTGCTATTTAAAAACTTATCCACCGTGAAGTGTAATATTTATAAAAAAAAATCTACTTAAGTAGATTTTTTTTTATAAATATTTTATGTACATATGTACAATTGTATTTTTAAAAAATATTAAGGTGTCAAAAGATACAATAACTTATTTCAAATATACAAAGGGATGTTTAAAGAAAAACATACGAAATCCTAACCTCCGTGAAGCTTTCTTCCGTCAAAATGTATGATTTCTTATTCTCAATATATTCACCCATATGTCAGTATCTACAAAAAGTAGACTTGGATAATTAAAAAATGAATTTTCTTTAAGTTAAAAAATGTAGAAATATGATTTTTTGGACCCAACAAATAAGTTATTTTACTAAAATCAACAAAACACCTAAACTATTTAAAGATAAAAATAATACGTCATTAATAATAATACTAATAATCTAAGTTTTAATGAAATTTTAAAAGCGTTAATAATCCATTTTATGTAATTAACGTAATATATTAAAATACTGAATACCTTTTGACATAAGGTGTAGGTAACGGAAAAATATTTAAAAAAATATTTTACCAAACGCCTAATTACCAATTTGCATTGTTGATTTTGTTAGTTTGTAATTAAGCTAAATTTAAACAAAATCTGGCAACTTTTTTTGACAGAATCTGGAAACGCTGCTTGTTACGAACCATAACAAAAAAAATTAAATTAGGCAACCGGATTAGCCTACCCTAGTAGAAATTTTACGTTGAAACAACGTTTTTCCAACGTTGGCAAAACTTAACTTTTATGTATAATTTTATGTTGAAATGTCCCGGTTTATAACGTTACATGACAACGTTAGTTCCTAATGTTATAAAAAACGTGGGATTTACGTATTATAAAACGTTGGAAATACGTGGGATTTATGTATTATAAAACGTTGGAAATACTTGGGATTTATGTATTAAACAACGTGGGAAATATGTGGGTTTTGTATTATAATACGTTGGATTTTTAAATAATTTTGGGTAGGATTTTTCTTTATTATTGGAAAAATTAATATATATTTAAAAACGACAAAAATTTATTGTACAAAAAAATACTTTTGAAAAAATTATCCCAATTAACAAAATCTAAAAAATATTATCTAAATAATAGTCTTATATTATACTTAAAGTAAACAAATTAAATTATAACAAAATAGCTTTAATAAAGTTCCTAGACTGGATTAAAATATGAAATCGATATTTTTTTTTTCGAATGTGACGATTTTTTTTAGTATAAATTAACAAAAAAACAAGCAAGCAGACACATACATGCAAACACCACATCGAGCATGCGTAGAAAACAAAAGCCATCGGTTGAGGTAATTTTATTGTCGCGGGGGTGGGGGATTTAGGCGCCGCCGCCGGCACCTCCAGCGCCCTCTGGCGGCGCTTATGTGGGACGCCACACGTCCGGATCCTCCATCAAGGTCGTGTGGTGGTCGGTGTTGCCGATGTTACCGCCGCCAACCATCCCGGGCGACGTTGCCATCGATGGCGAGCCAACCGCCGCCGCCGCCATGTCCTGTCTGTCTTCCCTTCCAAGGTTAGAAAGATAGGCAACACGCAACGCACGCGGCAAATGTAACACAATGTTAGTTACGTTTTTAAGTGAGATGTTTTTTGTTATTTAAAAATCTTGTTTATCGTTAATCTGAGGTTAAATGTTATATTACCAAAATTGTTGGTCTTTCAATTCTCTACAAAAAAGGTGGTATGCATTTTTTACGTAGAACCAACAATAACGGACATATCCCTGATCTTAAGATAACATTTTTTATATGGTTTCTGAAAAAACATCAACGCGTTTTTTCGTCAATAACTTATTTATTGTTGATCTGAGGTAAAAATGTTAAATTATCAAAATTGATGGTCTTTAAATTCTCCACAAATATACTATGCATTTTTTACGTAGAACCAACAGTAACGGACAAATCCATTATGTCAAAGTTAAATGTCAAAAACCACTTGGATAAATGATTAATTTCTAAAAACCTAAACTTAATAGGAATATTTTTGTGTTAAAATTGTATGAGATGGTATTATAATATTCACAAAAGCAATTGTTTATTTACAAACACACAAAAAAAATGATTTTATGTAAATGGTAATTTAAAAAAAAATCAATAACCGTTTGATATTTAAATTAAAAACAAAAATAACTTACTTTGTCCCAAGGGCCATCATTCCATAAACGACACCGGTGATAAATATAAGTCCACTTCCAAAAATAGTAGTAAATCCTATGTCAAGTAAAATAGGCGGTACTGCCAACCTAAAAAACGCAAATTTAAACAGTTTTTACGTAAAAAGGTTGCCTTCTTACGCGACGTAGGCCAAGGCGCGGTTCCAATAGGGGCGCTGCTCCACCATGTCGCTCAGTTTTTGCACCTTTTTGCACTGGGCCTCGCAGGAAATCACTATGAGCCCTGCGACTATTTGCCAGATTCCCGCTACAATGGCCTCCACATTGCCGGTGAGTATGACCTCGCAGTTCCATACGCCCAGAAATATGGCAACTGTGCGAAGAAAAATATTTGGAAACACAATTGTCGCGGAATGTATCTTTTACGGCTTACGTCTTATGTCTTACGTCTTACGTCGATAAATTACAGTGCTTGATTGGTTGACGTAAGACGTAAGACGTAAAAGGGGCTTAAAATATCGTTACAAATTTATTTCAAAAAGATCAAAATAATAAAAATTGTTGATTACAACAAACTAAACCAGTTATAAATGTGATTATAATGTAATTGAGGTTAAATTATTGTAGGTAAAATCATATAAAAAAAGTAGTTAAATATAGGTGACTACGGCCCAGGAGAGACAAAGTATTCCTAGCGGATAATCTTCGCTTTGAAAAGAATTTATATAAAAGAAATTAAAATTGTATGTGATCACACGTGCATGTTGTCCAATCATTGGACTCCAATGGTGAATGGGTATTTTGTTAAAGGCACTGGACGTTAATATATTATATACATACATATATATAGTATACTTGTAGTGGCTTAATAATAACTATAATTTATATATTGTCCAGGATTATTAATGATCAGTAACTTGCAAATTAAAAGAAGAAAAAGTTTCGTGATTATTGCTTATCTGTTTCAAACCAAATTGATGCTATTTTCAAAGACAACTACTAGATTTTTCACAAAAAGGTTGAACCAAATAACTTTTAATTTTTTTATTTCCCCCTTATTTATAAAGTTTCAAAAATTTTTGATCTGCTTAGCTGAAAATAATGTGTGATTTAATATTTGTAAAACCAAAAACGTTACTTTTTTACTCCAAAAATGTCCATAAGGCGATGTACTTTTTCTGCCATTGAGGCATTTGGCATAACTTCATCGAATGAAGTTTGAAATCTGATATTATAATAAATATATTTTTGGCATAGTTATCCTTTTATATCGATATTATATATTAATTAACAAGTAAATTATCAATAATAAATATTACTGTTAATTTGACAGAGTTTTTAATTAAGGTCTTCAGCAGAAGTACATTTTTAAATACTAAAAATACTAAATCAAACTGGCATAAGCTACCAACTTAATAAAAAAACACGAGTCCAAATATAATTTATATTTAAATTAAAAATGTTTATTTTTTTTATCTAAAAAAACACAACAAATATTTTTAACATTTTCCGGCTTTATTATTAAAAACACTTGTTTGTAACATACGCTGCTTATAAAATATGTATATAGGTATGTATGTTTTGGTATTATTGTAATATAATTAATTGATAAAAAAATTGGGAAAAACATGTAAGTAAACAAACTATAGATAAAATCCTAGATTAAAGTAGATTAGAAAATAATAAAACAAATAATGGAGATGAATGATTGGGGGGGGGCGTTAAACGCATATAATAATAATAATAATCTTTATTTAGTTCAAAATAAAAACTAATACAAGTGCATGTAGCACAGCATAAATTAAATGGTTACAAAAAACATATATAAAAAAAATGTCTACGAAATAACTACATAAGTAGGTACCACAGGGAAATCAAAATTGTCGTCCTTTAAAACTCATCTATTGAATAATAACACTTATTAACCATAATATTCTTTAAAGTTCTTTTTAATGTTTTTTTCAGGAAGATTTATCACAGAATATGGAACATTTTTTTTGTAAGTAAAGATAATTTAATCTATCACAGTTTAAATTGTTTTTAAAGGGACTGCTGTAATCGCGACTAGTGTTAAATTGTTTAAACATATTTTGATTTCTCTTCACAAATAAAATTGATTCATATATAAAAATACAATAAACCGTTAAAATTCTAAAGTATTATCTTAAATTTGCGTGGTCATTTATAAATTTATTGGACCATAAGTGCTTATTAATAAATGCAATTCTGCATATTTTAAAGAGACAAAGATTTAATTCCTTAAGACAAAGGGGCTAAAAATAACCTAATAATAAAAAGAGTCCTTTAGTCTTTTAACTTACCATAGCCTCCTACACTTCCGACCACTCTTGCGCCAAATTTCACCCACCGAGGGAGATTGTCCTTGACGACGGGGTCCTGCCCTGGATGGGCCATCACGCCCGAGATCTTGTCCTGCAGCGACTGAAAAAACTTTTACCTTTAGCGCCCGAACAAAGCGGCTTTTCCAGACAAAACTCACCATTGTTGGGAGAAAGCGTTCGCGGAGATTTCGATTCTTCACTCAAGTTGTCACTTTTAACTGTCAAAACAAGCCGCACAGCTGTCAGTTTGACACCACACCACAGACCTGTGGATCACACTGGGGAAAGTGGTACAGCCAAGGTCAAATCATATTATGACCGTGAAAATAAATCAATAATTAAACGTCAAATCAATGCGCATGTCACATGGTGTTTGTGCATTGTTTTTAAAATTTAAACTATCTGTCATAAAGTTTAAGTTTGTTCATATATTATATCACGAGAACTATGAATTTAATCGGTTAAACTAGGCTCAGTAGTTTTTTGTTTGGCTTTTGTTGGAAAATGTTGAATGCAAAATAATTTAATAAAATCACGAGACCGCGTAGGGGTCGAGGGGTTTCATTTTTAATTATTTTGCATGAAACTATTTTCCAAAAAGAAAAATCAAATAAAAAACTTACTGAGCATAGTTTGACAGATTAAATTAATAGGTTGAGTGATATACGTCTAGATTATTTCTCGAATTAAAGGAAACTATTTGACAATTCATAAAATCTGACTTACCTATGTGTCAAAATTTATAAATATTTTTTTAAAGAAAATTCCATTTATTAAGGTATGTAATAAGTAATAATTGATATTTCTTAAACCAGATAACTTATTTTTTATTATTTTTTAAACAATGTTCGTTAAAACTTGTAAATAACACCATAAAATCGTAAACAAAAATCCAATATGGAGGCTAAAATTTAATCGCTGTTAAATAGTTCTAGTGATTTAATCGCTTATTTAAACTAAATTTATTCGAAAATTCAAGGCTTCTGATTGGTTCATATTATACTGAGGGAAATAATCTCTTACAAATACTGTGAGTAAATAGTGACAGTGAATAATTTTAAATATGGCTATGATTAAGGCTGGTAACCATGACCGGTTAACCGGTTTCGTAGGACCAAAAACCGTTAAAGAACGTAACCGGTTTAACCGTGACCGGTTTAACCGTAACCGGTTTAACCGTAATCGTAATCGTAATCGATATTGACATCAAATGATATATATATTGAAAACAAAATATCGATGTCATATCGAACTGAAAAAATTAATATTGATAAACATTAATGTTTTTAAAACTTAAACATTTAGAAGTTAGTAAAACAGTAGTTATTTATGTATCAAGGCAGTAAAGTCGTATCACGACTGTGTAAATTATAATAACCACGTGAGTGATAAAAAATGATTTTAATGCCGAGGTGCATATTAAATTTTATCCGAAATCACATTTAATAATATTTAAGTGACCAGATTCTGTCAAAAAATAGAGAGACATTTTGTATGAATTTACCTTAATTACAAAATTGACGTTACTTAATTATAGTTGATTGTGTCATTTTTATAATCAAGGTTAATTTACACAAAATGTCTCGCTATTTTTTTACAGAATCCGCGGCGATTTTTTAATCTAATTAATAAAAATAACTTATTATTTTTATTAAACAATATTTTATGAAAGGGTCCAATCGACCTCCGCGACGGTGCTTTTTTTAAATATTATTTAATTGCTGCTGAGGAGCAGTAGACACATCTTAAAATGTATAATGGGTTGCATACAATACTCGTATAAAGTAAAACTTTACTGCCGATTGTTGACTACTTTGCTGCCAAATTCGGATAAAAGTATTTTTATTAAAAAATACAAAAAAATATAAACATTCAAAAATAAATAAGAAAATCTATAGTTTATTCATGTTTTTCAGTGCAGGCAACATAGTTTCGGCGAAAAGAAACTGCTTGCTACCGGAAAATGCTGATAAATTTATTTTTTATTATTGAGTTCTGATGTAAAAAAATCAATTAATTGATTTTTTTACATCAAAACTCAATAATAAAAAAATATTGAGTTTTGTTATTATTTTTTATCACTTAACTACACTCACAGGCAAAATAATCGATCCACACAAAATTTCGATGAATTTCAATCACAAGTTACTTTTTTATTTGATTTCAGATTTAAACAAATATTAAAGAATATTGTAGATACATTAATGGAGAATCGCTCATATTTCAAAAATTACTAAAAAAATACACGTACGTTTATAATATACAGGTTTAAACAAAAATATGTTTAAAACACTCTGTAGAGTGGCAAAACCGTATATTGTTCTAAATTAAGTTTTAATTACCAAGTCACATCTATTTTTAACAGTTTTGTTTTTGGTTCACCTTGATATATTTATTTTTGTGGAAAATATGGATTTTTTAAAAAAACATTGCAGATTCCATTATTTTTCTGTATGAAGAACTAAGGTTGCTATGGTCCATCCATAGGCTATGGAGAATGACAGTGACAGTTTTGTTGAATCATCCCATATTTGGACATGTCATATACAGCTTTCAAAAGCTGTCAAATTGTATTTTGTAAATTAATGTGTTAATTTTGAGGTGTCTTCTTACTTTTAAAAATGTCTCCGACTGATGTTGCCCTTTGTACTTTACTTCTTGTGACGTTTAAAACACTTGCCACGTAATACTGTGACCGTCCATCCTGGATTAAATTAATGGCTCTGGCAACATCAGTCGGAGACATATCCATTTTTTAAATTAAGAAGACACCTCAAAATTTAAACATTAATTTGCAAAAAACAATTTGATAGCTTTTGAAAGCCGTGTATGACATGTCCAAGTATGGGATGATTCAACAAAACTTATGGTAAAAAACATCTTTTTGTTTAAACCTGTATATTATAAACGTACGTCTATTTTTTAGTAATTTTTTAAAATGTGAGCGATTCTCCATTAATCTATCTACAATATTCTTTAATATTCGTTTAAATCCGACATCGAATAAAAAAGTTATTTGCGATTAAAATTCATCGAAAATTTGTGTGGATCGATCATTTTGCCTGTGAGTGTATAATACGTGTGTTCACAAAAAATTTTAATTTCTTTTATATAAATTTTTAACCAATAAAATTATAAATCACAAAAATATTTAATAAATGTTAAAATAAGTGCGATTTATTGCATAATATTATAAAAAACATAACTCCAGTTTAAAAAATCATTGAGTGAAAAAATGTAGCATAACAAAACATCAAACTACGGCTCTGTTAAACACGCTCCCGCCATCTACCGGCGAGCGCTCAAACCTCCGCACAGGTAAGCAACAATTATTACCTGCCAGCTCACCTGCTAAAGTTGGCAACACCTGGCTCACCTGTACACAAATTGTACCTCCCCCCCTCGAAAAACATGACAATCTCGCGATAACGTTCGCCCTAGCAACATCACGGCGCGGCCTACTTTAAAAAAAAAGTAAATAATGTGATACGAATCCGTCCTAAAACTCAATACAAACGCAACATTCCAAGAACATTATTTATTGATGAAAATGAGCGAGAACGGCACGATCAAGGTGGCGTCGGGTCAGGGAAGTGCGGTGGCCCCTGCGCCCCAACCCAGCCCCACTAAAGCCTGGGTGCAGTTTGACGAGGAGAAAAACGAAGTTAAAGATCGAAAAGTCGAGGAAAAAAACAGCGCGGCCGTTATATCCACGGAGAGCGTGCAAGTCGACTTGGAGAGATCCCTGAGCAAAAGTCTGGACGGTAAGGGGGCCACTCCCGAGCCCAAGACGTTGAGGAACGTCGAGTTACCGGTCGCGACGGTGGAGCCCATCAGGCAAGGTTTTTGTAAGTGTTTTTATAAAATATTTATGTAAATCTTATAGGACTATTTTTGTAGCCAATGGTGATATTATTGTTACCCTTTTGCCAGTTAACACAAAATTACCGTGGATTACTCCGGCACAATTTAGACCGGAATTAGTCCCGGAAGAACTAATGGCCCAAGGTCTTACAGTGAGTACTTGACATTTTTCTAATCAATATATTATACCTAATATAAATATTTCTTAAAATAAAAATTCTGGGTTAGTACTACTAAACTATATTTAATTACCTATATTGCACTTTAATTATGAGGTATAGACCTATTAGATCTCTTAGGGTTAAGTAATTATGTTGTACTCAAATTGTAATTTTAGTCACATAAATTTTACCTCCATTGTATTGTTGTTTCTAATTTCCCAATATGGTTTTCTGATATAGGAAACAATGGGCGTGATTTGGGACAAAGGAAATCCATATTTTACATTATTCATTTCAGACGCTTGGTGTCAAAAACCGACAAATCCATAATCCCATTAAATATTGAGAAAGTGCATTTTTTGTTACCAATCATTTTTTATTGAGCATAGTATCTTTAATTCTTAATGGATTTGTAGACTGATCATTATTCTATCAAATCCTGTGATTATTAATTTAAAAAAAAATCTAAAATTATTATATATATATTATTATGTAATAAATATTTTCCCAAAGTTAAAGAAAAAATATGCATTAGAAGTTTTTTATATTTTTTGTGATACGCCACTGGTTACACACTGTGAGTACATAGATACCATCCAACAAAGTAGCAGCGCGTTGCCAGTTGTACAAAATTTTTTACTACCAAAAATTTTTCTTGCAAAAATTTTTAAAAACTCAATAAATACAAGTTGTATGCCCTTAAAGCTCTAATAGCCTTCTGTATTTATTTACTCATTTTAAAAACTTTGTGTAAATAAATCCAAAAGCACTTCCCTTAGTTAAGATATTTACAATTTGAGCACATAACCTAAAATTTGAAAGAAAAGCACTGGATTCTGACATAGGTTGCCAGATTTTGTTTGAATTTACCTTCTTTTTAAAAATTAACAATTTGCATTATGATTTTGTCATTTTTGTGATTCAGCTAAATTTAAACAAAATTTGGCAACTTTTTCTATAGGTATCAAATCCTGTTTTAATTTAATAACAAAAAATTATACATAACTTTTGTTCTTGTTTTTGCAAAATTTATATTCAGCGGTTGTGTTTAACCCTATTTTAGCTCACTGTGGAGGAGTACGTCCAAGCAATGGAGCTCCTAGTAAACGACGTACGTTTCACAATGTACAACGTCTGCTATAAGAGAGTTCTAGTGGTGTGGATAACGCTAGCTTTCTTCGTACTATTAGGCCTCTTATTCTCGGGCCTAACCGGCCTAACTCTTTTCGGCCTGGGCATAGGCTGGCTAGTGATGAACGCTGCGGCTATATTCATGGCGATGTACATGAAGTTCAGGTTGTCGAGAAACCTGGAAAGGTGCCTGGCGCACGTCAACAAGCAGCTACTCAGGCACAAGATCGTCATTGCTCTGGACGACAGAGGAAAGATATCCTGTCACAAGGTTAACTTGTGTTTTTTGTATATGGACTCGGCCCCGTGTGTTTCTCAACTGCAAACCAGCATAGAGCTACAAGAAAGGGACCCTAACAACGGCTGGGAGCAGAGGATGGATATCACTGCGAATGATATTGTTATACAGGGTAGCAGAACCACAAGGCTGTCCAGAAAACAGGTTAGTGGAAAAGGTGGTTGGTTTGTCTTTCACATTAAGGGCATTTTATTTTAATATTAGTTAAAATATCTTGAATAGAATGCATAAAAACAAATAAATAATCTTTCTGGAATAAATTGAATTGTTATGTATATCATCAACATAAAATTTAAATACTTAGTACCAGGTACATACACAAACTCATTAAGTTTCAGCAATGGCTTCAAGGCTAGAATATATGTAAACACAAAAAGATAAGCAGTTTTAAGGTGAATCATTTCGCAATTTAATTATACAGGGTGTTTTCTAACCTGTAATTTCAATACTGATAGTTAAAATATTGCCCTTAATGATTATTGCACTGATTGACAAAATTATTATTATTTCTCAAATAACTCAATTTAATTTTGTTGAACAGTGTAATTCAGCTTTTATTTGGAGTGGCTATTGTACATCTTCCTGTAATATTTATGCATTATTTCCTGTAGTTAGCATTTTAATTTAAATATACAGGGTGTTTCTACTCAAAATGGACTTTTTTTAATAAATATTTGTCGACCGGATTTAAAATGTTTCTGAAAACTTACAAATTTTTAAGGATAATCCGTAATCATATTATGATTATAATAATTATTCCTCATATTTTAATTTAGTAATAATATTGTACCGGGCTGCAAAAAACATATTATAATTTTGTAATTTAACTTTAAAAATCATTAATTATTTTGTAGTTGGATATTTTTAATGGATTCCTTTTTTAAATGAATTAGTTTTTTTGTAATAAAGAACTTTTTTAAATTAAAATAATGTTTATTGCGACTTTTTTCAAATGTGTATTTTCCAAGAAAAAATCAATTTTTCCACTTGGATAAAGTATCTCATTACAGCGAAATAGACCAGGTGGTCTATTTCGCTGTAATGAGATACTTTATCCCACCCAAAATTTTGATTTTATAGGTTGACTGTACTTTAAACAGCATAATATTTTGCATATTGGTTATAATAATTTTATGATTTTTCTGGTACTTACGACACTTTTCTGGCAATAAATTTTGTATAACACCTAAGAAAATCCTTTTTTCTTCTTTAACATTAACAACCGCTTATTGTAAATAAGTAAGTTAAGGACGGCATGGCGAATCGATTTTGACATTAACTAAAGTAAAATACGACCAAATTAAATTTAAGGTATAAAATAATTTTTTTTTTATAGAATTTAAAAAAAAAACAATTTTTCCCAAAAAAGTCAATTTTTCCAAAGCATGGGAAGAAAACGGAAAAACAGTTTTTCCCCAATTTCTCCAATTTTTTTTCGACACTTGTCAATAAAAAAATTATTTAAAAAATGTTTTAGCCTTGAAGATCTAAAACCTTACCTACATTGTCCATTTTGAGTAAAAACGACTCTTTGGATTATAACAATTTTTTACTAAAAATACCCTGTTTAAAATAAAAAAAATACACTATAAATAACAACGTTCTGATTGGTTGCAGCAAAATTGTAAAGTGCAAAAATATCCGCAAAATAGCCACTCATTTTCCGTATCTGTGTATTATATATATTATATATAGGGTCGCTCCGAAGCTCTGTATCTGCGCTACCTGCAACGTTGGGGCAAAGATTTTCTGCGCAGGCGTTTAGATTGGACGCTGGACGAGATCGCCTGCAATCCACGCAACCCGCGTCACCTCAACTCGAGCCTGTGCCCCTGTCAGTACGTGGAGGAGATTATGGCCAGCAAGCCGCCCAGAACCGACTCCAGGGACTGTCTGCCCGCGTGGTCGAGGTTCTTGCGCCGGCTGGGGATCTATTAAGTAATTTTGGTCGTTTTATGTCTTTGCACTTTATGTTTTGCTGTTTTTGATCATTATTTAAAAAAAAAAAACAAGTTTTTTTTTTTTTTTTTTTTTAGGAAAGGGCCGCTCTGTTGTACCTGCGTTACTTGTCGCGTTGGGGGCGGGAGCGGGTCAGGGGGCGGCTGGCGAGCCCCCCTGTCACCGGCGGACGCCACTGCCCCTCGCTACAGTGCCCCTGCCAATTTATAGAGGACCACCTGCACTGTAAACCGCAAGGCAAGTTAACCTTCAAAAGCTTTTTTTTTCTGCCCGATCAAACGAACAGCGGCAACACCTGTTGGGGCCTAATTTAAAAAAATTTTTTTTTTTGCTTTTTGTTTTTCAATAAGTTAAAAATGAGTCAAAAAAATAAATAATAAATTACATAAAACAATAAGTAAAAAAGTCATAAGTTTAAAACAAAAAAAAGACTTGTTTTGGACACCAAAAGTTTTAAAAAATTGAAAAGGAAAAAAAAATAATGCCTTTCTTCCTTACTTTTTTTCATATTTTATTTTCGAATAGTTCAAAAAAGTCCGAAAAAAAGGTAAAAAAAATAAAAAAAACAAAAAAGTTTCACTTTTTTAGTTTTTTCCTTTTCGGACACAAAAAGTTAAAAAAGAAATCCAAAAAGGAAAAGAATAAAGGTAAAAATATTTTCAATTTTTTTTACTTTTTTTGTTACATTTTTTTTTTCATTAACCAGAATTTTAAAATTTCAAAAAAGTTCAGCTAAATTAAATCTGTCAAATGTCAAAAACAAACTTTAATACCAACTTAACAAACAAAAACTTCATCTATGGATAGTTTTAATTTTGACTTTTTCCTATCTTTTTTTTATTTTTTTTGTTTACTTTTATGACAAATTTTAAAATAGGTCCAAAAAGTTGGAAAGTTGACTTTTAATGTTTTTTGCCTTTTTTAAGTGTAAAAAAATAAGTCACGAAAAGTTAAAAAAAAAGTAAAAAAAATACTTTTTTTGACTTATTTTAACCTTTTTTAACCATTTCCGTTTTGGACACAAAAATTTAAAAAAAATTCAGTAAAAAATTAAAGCAAAGTCTCAAAAAGCCTTTTTTTTCATATTTAATTTTTAAACAGTTCAAAAATTTCAAAAAAAATCCAAAAAGGTAAAGAATAAAGGTAAAAATAGTTCAAAAATACTTTCATTTTTTTTACTTTTTTATTACATTTTTCTTTTCAAGTAGGTAACAAGATTTTAAAATTTGAAAAAAAGTTCAGCAAAATTAAATCTGTCAAATGTCAAAAACAAACTTTAATACCAACTTAAACAAACAAAAACTTAACCTATGGATAGTTTTAATTTGTGAACTGATTATATTTTAAAAAATACTAAAAGTACAATTTAAAACATTTCACTAACAACTCTTAAGACTAAATTTAATGAATCTCCTTACCCTATCACTAAAAGCTATTAAAAATAGTTCTTTTAATTTCTGGTGGTTGGTAAACGCTTATAGTTATTTCACTTACTTTTATTATTATTATAATACTGGGTGATATGTTGTTAACTAGTCTACAAGTTAGTATTTTGAACATCACTGTTATTATATTTTATACTCATTGACGAATTTTAGGCTCTTATTTACTAACAAAAATATTATTTATAAAATTAGTAGGTATTAAGCATAGACTGTTAAAAAGTAAGCAATTACATAAACTAACTTATTTTATAGGAATAAGTGTACTTAAATATACAATAATCCGTCCAAAATGTATATAGGTATTTACTGTTTTGTAATAATAAATTATACACTTTAAAAAAACTGCACTCTTTTATTACATTCCTAATACAGGCTTTTTACAAAAAAACGTTGATATTGTTGATATGTGCAAACTAATACATTTAATTGTAAAAAAAAGTTTTATAATCTTAAATATTATTTTTTTGTAAAGTTTCAAAGTTTATTTACGCCATCCTGTATCTTTCTACTAACAATGCTTTTATTGCTGCTTTTTCTATTCAATGGTTATGGAAAAAACTTGATGAAAATGTATGGCAGATTTTAAGAATCTGTTTTTTTCAGCAAGTTTTCCTTTCTACCCCTAAAATGACCACTAAAAATAAGGTAGGTAAACAATCATAAAAAACACTTTTATCTATTTTGTGTTCATAATGACTCATTATACATACATACCCAAAATTTTGATTTTATAGGTTGGCTATACTTTAAACAGCATAATATTTTGCATATTGGTTATAATATTTTAATGATTTTTCTAGTACTTACGAGACTTTTCTGGCAATAAATTTTGTTTAGCACCAAAGAAAATCCTTTTTTTCTTCTTTAACATTAACAGCCGCTTATTGTAAATAAGTACATTAAGGGCGGCATGGCGAATCGATTTTGACATTAACTGTCAAACCAATGTCTGTGATACCAACTATATAAAGTAAAATTCGATCAAATTAAATTTAAGGTATAAAATAATTTTTTTTATAGAATTTTTGCAAAATAGATAAAATAGCATAAAGAACTCATGTCATAAAACCTTTTGTCGCACGGGTGCGACAAAATGACGTCTTATAACATTAGTTCTTTAATATACTATTATGTATTATAATGTATTATAATATAAATAGTAATAAATTAATTTCTCCTTGATTTTTAGATACACCCTGTGGTTGGTTGTATTTCATGGGCGATAGAAATGTGCAATTTGATGGCACTCCAATTCACCCACCAGTTTAAAAATATATATTTTATTGTTTATACGGGGTGTTATGTAATATATTAAAAAAAATTCTAAAGACTAGAAATAATTTATAATAACCTTTTTCCTACCAAAAAGTACGCCTCTGATCGTCTAGGAACTTTAGGCTAATCTGGTTGCCTAATTTAATTTATTATGTTATGGTTGGCAACCAGATTCTGTCAAAAAAGTCAGATTTTGTTTAAATTTAGCTTAAATACAAAAATGACAAAATCAACAAAACAATTTGTTAATTTTGCGTTTTTTTTTGTTGATTATGTCATTTTTGTAATGAAGGTAAATTCAAACAAAATCTGTCAATTTTATGACAGAATCTAGTGCATTTCTTCAAGTTTTGGGTTATGTGCTCAAATTGTAAATATCTTAACTAAGGGAAGTGCTTTTGGATTTATTTACACAAATTGAATGTTTAAGTTTAACCTGTGAACTTGTCCTAATTTCATCTGAGTAAACAGAAAGAAAAAACTGATGAAAAAGTAATATATTACATTAATTACATAACACCCTGTATTATTTTATGCTTTTTTGTTAAATTTTAATGGAAAATAAATCACATTAATGTTAATCATAAATAAATATATATTTTATACAAAATATCACACATTTTACTTTATTTTAAAACTTCTCGTTAACTTAAAATCATATTTGACTCATCTTTAATACTTTGTAACGTCCCTTTAACTTCCTTTGACAACTTATTTACCTCCTTGAGCAAAGTCTCCAAATCTTCTGAAACAACCTCCAAATCGTTGGAACCCCTTAAAAAGTCCTCCAACTTTCCGAATTTTGCCTCTTGAGGGGGCTTTTCATCCAAACAGTAATACAACTTGTTGCGTTCTTCCTCAGACGTACTAAGTGCGTTTATATCTTCAATGAACTTCTCTTTCGTCATACTGAACGCTTTTCTTTGCGGAATCGAGCTTTTGCTAAACATTTTACACCAATAATCTTTGTTATCTATGCAATAATCTATTAGGTGTTTACAGTGGTAGAAAGTGACGTTTAAGAATTAGGTTATGTTGGTTGCCAGGCAGTGTTGCCGGATGAATTTCAAGAAAGCAAAATTTACAAAATACCCAATTTTACCCTCAAGAGCAAAAAAATAGTTATCTTTATAGTTTGTCAAGTGCATATTTTAAAAAATTAAATTAAATTTTGTTTTTCCAAGGTTAAGGCAAACTCCAGGTGGCGCTGGGATCTAGATGTAAACAAACATAACCTACTTGTTATTGTGTGGAATAATTCAGGTGGCGTCGTTATTTGAGTCTCAAATTTTGAGACATGAAATCCTGCGCTGTACCGCAATGTAACCATCTTACTTATCGTTCCAGTCTCCGGTCAGGTGTTAAAGTTAAGCGTTCAATGTTTAAAGTGCCGTCGGATGTGCAGCGGTTTAAAAAGTGGCAAATAGCGATTCCCAATAGAATATTGACCTCTTCGCACTTTGTCTGCATAAAACATTTCGAAGAACATGATATTATTCGAAAATACATCAGACATGACGTAAATGGAAGACTTATTGCTGAGGTGAGTTTGGCAGGGTTGCCACTACCACTTTTTAAGATGTTTTTTAGTGAAAGCATATAGGTACAGTTTATTTTTTTTATTTGGACTCGTGTTTTTTTATTAAGTTGGTAGCTTATGCCATGTATTTAAAAAATGGTCCTTCACTGAAGACTTTAATAATCAAGTTTAATTAAATACTCGTTCAACTTTTTTGTGAAAAATCTAGTAGTGTATTTGAAAATAGCATCCATTTGGTTTGAAAAAGATAAGCAATAATCACGAAACTTTTTCTTCTTTCAATTCAGTTTCTGATCATTAATAGTCCTGGACAATATATACATTAACCATTAACCAAATACACATTCACCATTGGAGTTCAATGATTGGACAAAATTCAACATTTTAATTTCTTTTAGCGAAGATTTTTATTCGCTAGGAATACTTTTTCTCAAGCAACCCCCTAAATTTGCAACGTTGCCACAGTCCATATAAAAAATGAACTTTATATGAGTGAAACGTGCTAAAAACATTGTTTTTTTTCGAATATTAATTTTTAAAGGTTGTTAAAATAACAGGTTATGTACAAAAGACCTCGATTAACGGAATCCGCGGTCCCGACCATATTTGATGAGGCAAATGAAGAAAAAACTTTTGAAGGTTGCGATGGTTTCGCCATCTATAAAACTCATGCTGCATCTTCAAAAACAGCGCACGATCATTCTTACAGTTCGATTCATGAATCGGGGGTTCCCATGACAAATACCACAACATTTGACATATCGCCGGTCACCATCAGTGCCGGTAAGTTTGTAGTTGAATCTGGCTAGCCGTAACGATTTTTCCCATTCACGATTGTCTTGTAGGTTCGTCAAGATCTCAACATCCTGTGGCCTGTCTCAAGAGTCTACCAAAGCCTTGGGTTGTTGGTCAACTATCCGCACTCTCTAATGGTGATCAGTGCCTGTTACTTTTGCACCCGGAAGTGGCAAAAAAACGCGGCGGTATCGAAATCCCCGTAACGTTTGGACGTCTTGGGACTGTGACAGTGGACAATCAAAAAAATTTGCGTTATTTCGTCCACGGAAATCTCTTTGGAAACGATGAAGGAAATCTTCGACAAAAATTGTACTCCCTAGCGGATCTTCCCGATATTTTAAGCGAGTTTCAACGTGTGAAGCTGTGTGGGGGCATAGGAGAAGTGGATATCCATTTTTTACCATTGGACAAGAGCTTCAAAAATTACGTCGACGAATGGCATCACATTGAATGCTCTTTAATCTGCTCAAAACCAAGATGTGATAGTTGCAGCAAACTACGAAGAATTGTTCTTCAAAGAGGAAGAAGAAGCAACACAACAAATTTGGCAATACAAGAAGAAGATTCCAATGAAGAATTTGATATAGCTGAAACTATTCTTCAAAAAGAAAGAAGCAACACAACAAATTTGGAAATAAAAGAAGAGAATTTCAGTGAAGAATTTGATATAGCTGAAACTATTTTGCAAAAAGAAAGAAACAACACAACAAGTTTAGAAATAAAAGAAGAGTATTCTAGTGAAGAACTTGATGTAGCTGATACTATTCTTCAAAAAGAAAAAAGAAGCAATACAACAAATTTAGCAATAAAAGAAGAGGATTTCAATGAAGAATATGATATAGCTATATACCCCTAGAATTTGCAGAACAATGTATAGACTATGCGATAAAATATTTGAATCAATGTTCTAAAACCAATTTGGGCTAAGATTGCTTTGAATTTTTTTTTTTTTAGTTTTTTTTATTATAATGGTTTAGTAGAAATTAAAACACTCTCGAGATAAAAATTATATTATTACACACACAAAAAAATCTACAACATTTTTGCTTCTCTCACGGTTTCAGGCAGCTTGCTACCCAAAGTTTCAGGCAATTTAAGCGCCAAAATTCCCGCTGTTAAAGCGGTACCACCGAATAGAAGCATTGGTAGTGGGGCAAAATACGTACCCTAAAAATAACAAAATAAAAAACAGTACTGATAAATTTAAGGCGTTTTATTCACCAGCAGGGGCACAAAGGGGGCCAACAATGCCCCAACTCTGGCTACTGTCGATGCGGAACCCACCCCACCACTCCTCACGATTGTTGGTAGCAATTCGGCTGTATAAACATAGACTATACCGAATGAGGATGTTATTCCTAACTTCCCGAGCAGAAATAGTAAAATTACAAGCCATTCGGTATCTAAAAACATTAAAAATAAGAAAATGCGGTGTTGCCACGTCGCCTTAAAAGTCGCAGATTTAGGGATTTAGGATTTACCTGCTGGTAAGAAAATGGTCGCTGTGCATGTGAGTCCACTCAATAAGAGTGACAAAATAAGTCCATATTTTCTGCCGATTTTTTGTATGGCCACCCAGGCCAGTGTATAGCCCGGTATTTCCACTAGACTTACTAAGGCAAAGTTTATGTACTTGTCTCCACTCAAACTCGTCGAGTTTATTGACAGACCGTAGTAAACAAATGCATTGACAGCCCTAAAATTTGTTTGTTTTGTACCGACTTTAAAACCATAAGGTTTGTAAGTTACCATATAAAATACATTATGAGAAATCTTATAACCAATTTTTTACAGCAAATCATCTCTTTAATGACCGGTAAAATTCTTGGCTCTTCGTCCAAGTCATTTTCTTTTCCCTAAAAAAATGTATTTATATAAGTATATTTTTTTTCGAAAAAAAAAATTACATTAATTTCTTCCTCTTTAAACGAATCCATCAGGGATTTCGACAGGCTGACTTTATTCACTTTGGCAGCTCTGCAGATTATTTTTTTCGCGCTTTCATTTTTTTCGTTCGCCAGAAGCCATCTCACCGACTCTGGAACCATCCTGAAAAAAGTTATCAAACTCGGCAACACTGTGCAACAAACGAACAATGAGGTTATGTGCTTGTCAAAGTTATGACAAGGTTGCCAACTGTTTTCTTACCAATAGTACGCCAGAAATAATACAGGTGGCGCAGAAACTATTAGTTGCAAGTATATCCAGTTTTTCGTGTACCAAGCGAATAAAGCCACCAGGGCTTCTCCAACGGCATAAAAATAGTTTAAAACTATACCCGTTAGTTCGCGCTTTTTTTTGCCCACCATTTCAACCCCTAAAATTGTTTTTTTCAAAGTGTTACCATTCGAAATTATTAATTTTTTTACCTATAATAAACGCTAAAGGATAAACCCCGGAAGTGCCCAAAGAATTAATAAAAATCAGCACCACGAAGCTTATGTACTCTGGCGCCAAAACTTGAAGCATCCCCGATAAACTCATAATCAAAATACAAACGACAAAAACTATTTTTCTTCCATATCTGCAACAAAACGTTAACCACGGCAACAATGCGTTATGTTGAAAAGTAACCCCACCTATCGGCCAAAACACCAAACAATCCCGAACCCACTATGATCCCAGCAAAGTGAGATGAACCCACCAGTGATAATTTCCATTGGTTTTCAACGCATGTCAAATTCCACTGCAACATTCCATTGAATATACATTAATATATTTATATATAATATAAACAAACCTACTTCATTCACTATAGTTTTTTCGGCGTCATCAAACACCCATTGGTCACATTTGGTAACTTCCCTGGTAAAAATATCTGCACTACATACTCCAGTCGCATTATATATTGTAGTATCAACTTTATACATGTCACAATAGCGAGATTTCGTATCTAAAACTCCCTGCCCAGAACTGCTGGGTAAAGCCCAGTGGGTCCAAGGCGTGGTGTAATGCGTGTTGCCTGCTTCTTCGCATTCCGGTATAAAACACCTAAAAAGATTTTATTTTATACATATGTAGGGGATTCACCTAAATATAAAATGTTTATTTTTACCTATAATTCGGAACTCCAGCAGTAAAAACGTAGCTTAAGCTATTTGCTGCTGCAAAAAGTACCGGTAAACAAACGAGGGTGTAAGTTGTCACCTGAAACTTCCCCATTTCCCCTAACTCCTCAAGCATGTCGTCGAAGTCCATCTTGGACTTCTTTGTGGGACTTACAGCCCCTACTTGATCTAAAAAATAATTTTTCCTGCATTTTGCGTACACCCTGTGCATTTTGTTAGTGTTATGCGTGTAATGGATTATCTAATTGCAATTTAAAAAATCACCGTTTAAGTATTTGACCTTGGCAGTGCTTCATGATATTTCTTTTCAAAGAAATACATTTTATCTTTAGAGTATATAAGACATGGACAAAATTATCTTAAAAAATATTAAAATTTTAAAACCTTGTATCTCAGAAAAAAGCAATATTTGGACATAAGTTTAAAATAAATTCTTAGTTAAAAGTTCCATTCCATGTTATGTATTCTTGCCTTTGGCAATTTGTGTAAATAATTAAAAATATAGGTATGTATTACGGTAATAATACTATTACCTACATACTTTTGTATAATATTATTACAATAAATGGCATAAATTAAGACATAAAACATATAAATTACTTACTTTTAACTCAAACTACTATAATAGTGGCCGCTTCGTGCAAAATTTAATATAAAATAAAACTCAATATAGAAATAAAGGTCATTTGAAAATGGTAAATTAAAGATGGCATTTAATTGCATTTCCTTTCCTAATTTAATAATTGAAACCGTAATTATAGGCCCCATAACGATTTTAAAATTATTAATCCATACTTCTAGATATCGACGTTGTTTAATGTACTTACATATAAATATATTTACACATATATATATATATATATATATATATATATATATATAATACATCAGATAACTGCATTGTTGTAAGTGGGTGAGTACTAATAATAATATTAATATTAAATATAATTTACCAATAAACACCATTTCAAGTTGTTTTTATTTATTAAACTGAAAATAGTTAGGTTTAAAAATAAATAAATTTATTTTTGGCCCAGAATTAATAATATTAATAGCTTTCATATCCAAATCGTTTTTGTTTACTATTCTGTAGTTCACTGAACTATTTTTTATAGTATTTGTCGATAATATTTTATAAAAATTAAAATACTCACTATTTTAAATGGAAAAATAAATATATATATAAATATATATAAATATATATATATATATAATGTTTTCTGTAGATATACTTCAACGTGTGACTAAATTAGTTGAACTAAATGATTATTTATTTTGATTGCCATTCTGTTTGAATTGTTTCGTGCGTTTTTTAATTAATAAATAATTGTAGATATAGTGTTTATTAATAATTATTAAGATTGAAATGTGATTTGTTCACAAGGTTTTAATTTCACCAACATTCATTAATTGAACATAATTATTTTGTAAAATGTAAAAAATAATGTTTTATATTTTTCTTTTCTACAGGGTGTTATATTTTATTTTTTCCTTTGGAAACAAAAAACTGGACTTTTGGGAATTTCATTTTTAATGTTTGGCAACATTGCACAGCAAGAAATGTCGCTATTGAAAGGATATTTATCTGATTCCTGATTTTTTCGGGTCCTAGACTATTTGGAGTGGTTTAACTACTTTTATAATGTTTAATTTAAAAAATTGGATCTCTTTTTAAAGTTGCAAGTAATTTGTAAGTAAACTGAGAATAAAATCTATTGGCAATTAGATGTCATACAATCGTCAAAACAAACTGCTCTTGTGCTGACCTTTTGATTTCGCCGGCAATACACTGATAAAGCATTAAAAATTTCGGTTAATCTACCCATAATACATTCTCTTCAGTTTCACTGTAAAAACTGCTTTTATTTCCGATTTTGAGGGATACATTTTGATGTTTACAGAAAAATTTGACAACACTGCCATTTTGAAAGCCGATAAAACAGGTTACTATATTTTTGCATAGATGACATCTATTAGAAAATTATTTACTATAATAAATTATTTCTTATTCTCAATAATATTTGCCGTAGAAAAAGAATAAAAAGTATAAATTTTTCTAGACACTCATTTCATTAAACACTTGCTCGCAAGCTTGCTTTTCTGCCAAAAAAAATGAAAAAATAAGATAATTTGCTAGTTAAAAAATAATACATTTAAAAAAAACCTGTAGGTATGTGTCACAATAATTTCCAATGTATTAGAAAATTGCATGTTATTTAAATAAATATAATTAGGAGTACCATGCAATGTTTCTTGTATATTGTATCTTGGAAATTTGCATTGTTAATTGAAGGTCAAAAATAACAGATAACATATAATTTGCAGACTTGAATGAATGTTACATTTTTTCCAATAGGTGCATTTTTTATTTAAATTTGTCAAATGTCATTTAGACGTAAAAAAAATATATAAAACTCACCCATATTTCTCCTGGATCACAAACAATCACAGCACATTTAAATAAACAGTCCACAGCCGAAAAATAAAACAGGTAGTATCCGAATTATATTATATTATACATAAACAAGAAATATTTACAAATAAATAATCACATGTAGATAGATCCTCTGATTTAATTAGTTACACATCTCATCTCGTCTAACAGATAATATGTTTACGATGTTTATTTTATTCAATGTTAATAACACATTAAATAAAATAAAAAACAAATTAAGAGAGCTCGAAACCCGCTTGTTGCTCTATAGCTGCCAACAGTTTGTTAGCGAGTATCTCCTCTTCTTTTATAACGGGAATTTTAAGTAGATTTAAACAGGTACTCGCTGTAGGCATACGATCTTCCCCTCCAGTTGATTGGATGCAAAATTGCGGACTCAGTTCCTATGTAAAAAAGATGTTATGGTGGAAAAACCAAAGAACAAGGAAAACCGTTAAAAATCAAAAACGCCAATTTGTAAATCTACATTTGTAATTAATTTTGAGCATCACATGAAACTTTAAATTATTGAAAGAAAATAAAGGCACATTTTAATTTAATCATTTTTAAATCTAACTTGAAATAAAGTAATAAAACTTAAAATTCAATTATTTATTTTCAGTTCAAAAATAAATTGAATTAATGTTAAACTGATATTTAAAATTAAATAAAAAAAATCAAATTTTGAATTCTCTGAATTACCAAGTGGAAATAAAAATATTGTTTGATATTTAAAAGTAAAATATCAAAACCATATTTTTAATTATTGTCAGGTTTTTTTTATTGAAGTTAATATTACTATAGGAAATGATATTTAACTATACTGGGTGTTATGTAATTAATGTAATATATTAAAATGGGTACCTATTAAACTTTTTTTATTAATTCATCCAGCGTGTCCAGATTTTGCCAAAAAAGTTGCCAGATTTTGTTTAAATTTAGCTTAATTACAAAACGACAAAATCGACAATGCAAATTTTACGTTTTTATTAATTGTTTATTATGAAGGTAAATTTCATGGAGCCTACACAAGGAGTCCGAACTGCATGTAAACAAGAATCTTCCTAAAGAAAGTAGGCGCTAGTGTCCCGTTTATTCTGAAACAATTGACTAATTTGTACCGAAACGCTACCAAAATAGCAGACGTCAGGACGCATCAACAATCAGCGCCGCAGGTGGTGAAATAAAAAGACTTAATTTGTGCAATTTAGAGGGCACGTTTTGTCAATTTTCCCTATTAAGTTCGGGCTCCTTGTGTAGGCTCCATGGTAAATTTAAACAAAATCTGTCAACTTATGACAGAATCTAGTGCATTTCTTTCAAATTTTAGGTTATGTGCTAAACTAACAATTTATTTAAAATTTATAAAATTTGAAGGAGAGTAAAATTTTCAAAATTTACGAATTTTTTAAAATCAACTTCAAAACATTACTTTGTAATTTAATTTTTGTTAATTTCAGTATAATTTACAAGTTGCAAATTTTTCTGTATAATTTACAAATTTTCATTGCATTTTTGTACAAATTTTCAAAAATATTTAAAATTTTCCAACTTAATTTACAAATTTTTCAAAATTACAAATTTATTAAAAATTTTCAATTTCTTATTTTTTCAAAATTTACAAAATTATCAATTTATTAAAAATTTCTAAAATTTGAAGGTGAGGAAAAACAGGCGAAATTTCCAAATTTTTAAAATTACAAATTTTTTCAAAATTTTTAAAATCTTTTAATTTTTTAAAATTTTCAAAACTACCTATGTATTTATTAAAATTAACAAAATTCAAAAGTGAGTAAATTTTTTTTAAATATTTCAATATTCGCAAACTTTAAAATTTACAAAATTCCTATTTTTTTTAAAATTTATGAACTTCAAAACATTATTACATTATTTAAATTAATTTCAGTATACTTAAAATTTACAAATATTTAAAAAATTACAAAATCAATGGGTTCCAGTGGCGTATCACAAAAAAATATAAAAAACTTCCAATGCATATTTTTTCTTTGTCTCTGGGAAAATATTTTTTAAAATATTTTTCCGTTACACCTTATGTCAAAAGGTATTCAGTATTTTAATATATTACATTAATTACATAACACCCTGTATTTTTTTTAATTTCAATGTTTTGTTTTAGAAAATTTCTTTTTAAACCATAATTCAAACAAAACCTTTCGTTTTGTAATAAAACTTTGTTAACAAAACGTAATTTTAACAACTAAAATATATTTTTACCTTGAAACCCAGTAGAGGCGGTCTGGAACAACTGGTCACAAATTTCAGCAACTTTTTCCTCTGTTCGTCGTTAAATTTCAGCAAAATCTTCCAGAACAGTAATATTGTAGGATGATCGGCGGTAAATTCCCCTAAAAATATTTATTTTACCTATAGTCGATTCACCAAGTGAAAAATATCGGGGAAAACTTCGACCGCACATATCTCGAAAACCTCGCGGGGTATCAACGTGAAATTTTAACACAACATAGCCATTAACCTTAATTAAGTATACACCAAAAATTATTAATGCAACATTAATAGTTTTTGATGTACATCCAATTTTATCGCCGACCAAAATTTTTCGCATTACGAATATACTGTACCTCCATAGACGGTGTGGTTCTTGAGGTCGCTCAGGTCGATCTCGGTGGTGTCGCCGCCTATGATTACCTGCAACTCGTTGTGGTTGAAAAGGCGCAACCACAAGAGGGGCACCACGCTGTCTAAGCCCTGCCTAAAGGCACGACACTGCTTATCGAGTTGCACGTTGAGCTTCAAATCGGCCAGGCGCTGGATGTACTCCAGGCGATTTTCATTTGTCACCTGGATCTCGCGGCCGTTTGGCTTCAGTTCCATAATCTAAAAAATATATAATATATACACTCACGTGCAAAATAATCGATCCACACAAATTTTCGATGAATTTCAATCGCAAATAACTTTTTTATTTGATGTCGGATTTAAACGAATATTAAAGAATATTGTAGATAAATTAATGGACAATCGCTCACATTTTAAAAAAATACTAAAAATAGACGTACGTTTATAATATACAGGTTTAAACAAAAAGATGTTTTTTACCATAAGTTTAAGACACTCTGTAGAGTGGCAAAACCGTATATTGTTCTAAATTAAGTTTTATTTATCAAGTCACATCTATTCTTAACAGTTTTGTTTTTGGTTCACCTCGATATATTTATTTTTGTGGAAAATATGGATTTTTTAAAAAAACATTGCAATTTCCAATATTTTTCAGTATGAAGAACTAAGGTTGCTATGGTCCATCCATAGGCTATGGAGAATGACAGTGACAGTTTTGTTGAATCATCCCATACTTGGACATGTCATACACGGCTTTCAAAAGCTATTAAATTGTTTTTTTGCAAATTAATGTTTAAATTTTGAGGTGTCTTCTTACTTTATAAAACGGATATGTCTCCGACTGATGTTGTCAGAGCCATTTCTTTAATCCAGGATGGACGGTCACAGTATTACGTGGCAAGTGTTTTAAACGTCATAAGAAGTAAAGTACAAAGGGCAACATCAGTCGGAGACATTTTTAAAAGTAAGAAGACACCTCGAAATTAACACATTAATTTGCAAAAAACAATTTGATAGCTTTTGAAAGCTGTATATGACATGTCCAAGTATGGGATGATTCAACAAAACTGTCACTGTCATTCTCCATAGCATATGAATGGACCATAGCAACCTTAGTTCTTCATACAGAAAAATATTGGAAATTGCAATGTTTTTTAAAAAAATCCATGTTTTCCACAAAAATAAATATATCGAGGTGAACCAAAAACAAAACTGTTAAGAATACATGTGACTTGATAAATAAAACTTAATTTAGAACAATATACGGTTTTGCCACTCAACAGAGTGTCTTAAACTTATGGTAAAAAACATCTTTTTGTTTAAACCTGTATATTATAAACGTACGTCTATTTTTTAGTATTTTTTTAAAATGTGAGCGATTGTCCATTAATTTATCTACAATAATCTTTAATATTCGTTTAAATCCGACATCAAATAAAAAAGTTATTTGCGATTGAAATTCATCGATTATTTTGCACGTGAGTGTATTATATATTGAGATGGAACTTTTTAAGAAGATGGCATTACTCTTGTCTCTCCTAAGTCGTTGTTGACGGTGGTGAAGTCAAGCCCCAGATCGCTGACGTCCCCTTGGTAGTCCCTCAAGTACAGCAGGTTTCTGTACAGGATCGGATCGAGGGATTTTAAGTAATGGGCGCTCGCCCTGAACACCAGCAGTTTCGAGAGGAAAAATTCCGCCAAAGGCAGGTCCACCAAAATGTTCTCGAAAATTGCCTGAAAAACATCTGATTGTGCATTTGACGAACCAAATTGTATTTTGAAGTGTGAAATAAATTTTGACTTCAATTAAAATAAAAACACCGTATTTACCTTTCTAACAATCCAATTATGGTTTTGACCTAAGACAAAGTCTTAGGTTTTGACATGTCATGTATACTAAGTTGTAATTTAAAGTGTGAAAAATTTTGACTTCAATAAAAAAACATAATATTCTAATTATGCTTTTGACATACTAAATTGTATTTTAAAGTGTGAAAAATAAATTTTGACTTAAATTTAAAAGAAACATTATATAAGTGTAAAAAATAAATTTTGACTTCAATCAAAATTGAAAACATTGTCAACTAAATTATATTTTAAAGTGTGAAAAATAAATTTTTACTTCAATTAAAACAATATATCAAATAAGTGTAAAAAATAAATTTTGACTTCAATTTAAAAAAAAATTATATAAGTGAGAAAAATAAATTTGTATTTTATGTGTGAAAAACAAATATTGACTTTAATTTAAAAAATATATCAAATAAGTGTTAAACATAAATTTTGACTTTAATTAAAAAAATATAATATATTTTTATCAAATATTATCAAATAAGTGTAAAAAATAAATTTTGACTTCAATCAAAATAGAAAAACATTGACAAACTAAATTGTATTTTAATGTGTGAAAAACAAATTTTGACTTTAATTAAAAAAATATATCAAATAAGTCTGAAAAATAAATTTTGACTTAAAATAAAAAAACATAAAAGTGTGAAAAATAAATGTTTGCTTCAATTAAAATTGACAAACTAAATTGTATTTTAATGTGTTAAAAACAAATTTTATTTTACCTTTCCAACCATCTAATTATGCTTTTGACATACTAAATTATATTTTAAATCGAAAAAAATGAAGTTTCACCTCAATTAAAAAAAACATCAAATAAGTGTAAAAAATTAATTTACACTTCAGTTAAAAAAAATTGACTTCAATCAAAATAAAAAAATTATTTACCAATACAACTTTCTAATTATGCTTTTTACATACTAAATTGTATTTTAAAGTATAAAAAATAAATTTTGACTTCGATTAAAATTAAAAAAACATTATATTTAACTTTCCAACCATCTAATTATGCTTTTGACATACTAAATTGTATTTTAAATCGTGAAAAAAGTTTGACTTTAATTAAAAAAAACACGTGTGAAAAATAAATTTTGACTTCAACTAAAAAAACAAACATCATATTAACCTTTTCAATCATGTAATTAGGCTTTTGACATACTAAATACTAAAGTGTAAAAAATAAATTTTTTTCAATTAAAAAAAAAACATAAATGTGAAAAATAAATTTTAACTTCAAACTAAATTGTAGTTTAAAATGAGAAAAATAAATTTCGACTTTAATTAAAAAAAAGTGAAAAATAAGTTTTGACTTCAATCAAAATTAAAAAAAAACATTATATTTAGCTTTCCAACCATCTAATTAAGCTTATGACATACTAAATTGTATTTTAAAGTGTGAAAAATAAATTTTGACTTCAATTAAAAAAACATCCTATGTGTAAATATAAATTTTGACTTCAATTAATAAAACAAACATCATATTAACCTTTCCAACCATGTAATTAGGCTTTTGACATACTAAATTGTATTTTATACTAAACATTGAAGTGTAAAAAAATTTTTTTGACTTCGATTAAAAAAAAAACATAAATGTGACTTCAATCAAACTAAATTTTATTTTAAAATGAGAAAAATAAATTTTGAGTTCAATTTAAAAAATTTATATAGGTAAGTGTTAAAAATAAATTTTGACTTCAATCAAAATTAAAAAATCATTATTTTTTACTTTTCCAACCATTTAAGTATGCTTTTAACATGCTAAATTGAATTTTAAAGTGTAAAAATAAATTTTGACTTCAATTTAAAAAAAACATCATATTTACCTTTCCGACCAATGAATTGTGCTTTTGACTTACTGTTTTTAAGCGTGAGAAATAAATTTCGACTTCACCCGAAACAAATAAAAAACAAAACATCATAGTTACCTTCCCAACCAACCTCCCGATAAAATAATAGTGCTCGACGTTGTTTTCGTAGATCAAATGAACGTTCGGGTTGGGATACAGCTGATTATCGGCCGTCATCAGGAAAAAACCGCGGTTAGGATCGAAGGCGGTCTTTAGCACCTCGTTTATGAACTCCTTGAAGATGCCGCCACCGTCTATCCCCGCCTCCTCCAGCCCCAAAGAATTTATGTACTGGATCCTCACCTTCTGCTTGAGGTCATTCACTGAGGAAAACAGCACAAGTTAATGGGGTAGTTAAATTTTTTCTGACCTATACTTTTTATGGTTTTATTCAAGGCGTTTTGTAATTTTAAACATTTCTGTGAAATCGGAATTTCAATTGAGTTTACCGTTTTCGAGATATTTACAAAAAAAAATCTCCTAATCACGTCACTAGGCTATTGACAACGTTGCCAGCTTTTTCTATGGTTGCCAGTGTGTTTAGTTTAAGATTCTTACGATAGATGGCGCCACGTTATAATATTTTAGTTTTAAAACCACTTGATCTATAATTTTAGTTGAGAAGAAGAAGAAGAATTGATTTTTTGACGTTTCTTTTTTTCGGGTTATGTTTTTTTTAAATTTAGATTATTGAAAATCAATGTTATTGTTATGTTATTTGTAATTGATATTAGATAAGTGATTTATTAATAACGGACTCCAAAGCAGAGGAATCTTGTGGAATGGTTGGTTACATTGAACATTGGAGCTTTTAAACAAATAAAGTAAGTACCTATAATTATAATCATATTTTGTCGTAAATGCATTTCATTAGTATAATGCCTAGTTCTTTATATTCTTTTAGATATATCTTGGACTCTAAAATATCAAACATTAATATGATACGTCGTAATAAGGAAGATAGGTACTTAATGAATTTGGTGACCATCTTTCACTCAACTGACAGTGACAGTATTTGTACATAACCTCTTCGGGTATTTTCTGACATAACCGAATGAAATCATTAACACGACAACTTGACAACAGGGTAATTTTCAACCAATAGAAATCTTAGAATGTAGGTCACATGGCGAGGTTTGTGACGTCATAAAAATTTATATTTTTTGCAAATATCTCGAAAACGGTAAACTCAATTGAAATTCTGATTTCACAGAAATGTTTAATATTACAAAACGCCTTCAATAAAACCATAAAAAGTATAGGTCAGAAAAAATTCGGGGGAATGGGAATCTTTTGAATTGTTAATACCGCTTTTAGTCGATATTTTTTCGAAGGCATCCTCGTAAAGGTGCGTCCTGCGAATGACCACGGTGTTATCGTGCACGAATTCCTGCTGCATCCTCTGAAAATCGGTCTCCCCCAACGAAAACTTGCACAGTTCCCTCAGCAAAAGCACGCGCGTGTTGAAAGCGATCAAAAAAGGCAACTGCTGCAAAATCGCCAGGGACCTTTGCTCGATGGTCGACAGAGGGGGCAAGTGGTCGTCATCTAAGCAAGAACCAAAACCAGTAAAAAAACACAAACGAAGTTACACGGATTTACCGTCCATGTCCGTGATAATACCGCGAAAAGGTTCTATGGACTTCGACAGGTAGTTTTTCCGCGACAAGTCCTGAGATATGTGGACTTTACGTTGCGTCCAGAAACCCGGCGGGCAAAACTCTTTGCGCATGTCCAGCGTGTACAACATTTTCAAGCAGTTCAGGCAAGAGTTGTAGACGTGCAAAATTTCCGGGGTCGCCAGGACCTACAATGAGTTATGAAACGACTCTTGGAGGTTTTTAATACATCCCTGAAAAAAATACTTACAGCACTGGCTCTGCACATAGGAAACGCAATTTCAATCAAGTCGAAAGCCACGCTTTTCAGCATTTTCGACATGGAATGTAAATCTGCCTTGGCAAAGGTCTCACTTGTGTCGGAATTTTCTAAAACGAATATTTAGCCACAAAAAACCTCAAAATCTAAATCTTTACCGCTATCTGTGAGGGTTTCGGTGTAAAAGGTAAACATATCGCAAAATACCGAGAATGTTACATAGATACCTCTGTTGGAGGTCAAAGTTGAACCCCTGAGTTCCTCAATCCAGGCGTTTTTGTTCAAAAGTTTCCACAGGCGGTTCAAAAACACGCTGTTCAAGCCGAACAGCAATAAAATACTAAGAAAATAAAATTAAAACCATCAATGTATATAAATAAACCACCAAACACACTTACAAATACTTTCTGATTGCCTCATTGTAAACCAGCAACAAGTGGTGGAATAACTTTATGAGGGCTTTCAGAAGATCCTCATTATCACTGTTGGTTTCGAAATAGTAAAGAATTTTCCTGACCCTGTCCTGTTTGTTAATGATAGCCAAATAGTCCGATAAAATCAGTTGTTCCTCGGACATCTGAATGTCCTCATCGTCGTCACTATCGTCAAGTAAATGGAAGTTTGGTTTCAAGTTTTTTAAATTTTGACTTATCGTCGATAAAACTTGAATGCTGTCCAAATTTGGTTCTGAAATTGTTTTAGTTTAAAAATAATACTCGGCTCATCCACCTGAAAACCTGCGTTGTGGCCCAGGCACAACATTTAAATATTGGCGTTTGCAGGAAAGTTTGTTTTTTAATTAAAAACATTAACTTATGATAAAATTACAGTGACTGTTTATTAATTATTGTCAAAATACTTGTAAAAACTACAATTATATACAGAATGTTCACGGATGGAGTTACAAGAAGAAAGAAAAAATATTTTAAATTTCTCAGAAAATTTTATTCTTGATAAAACTGTTTTTTTCTGAAAATTTTGAAGTATGGTTTTCGTTCATTAGTCATTTTATTTCCAAAAAATAAATGTAGGTATAAATCTCTCGAGAATTTCCACGGATGTCATTTATTTTTATTTATGAAAGAATACAAAAAATACCTTTGAAAAATAAAAAAAAATTAAGAATTGTTTACTAGTTTAGTTTTTCTGCACCCAAATCAACAATATACAATTCCTTATTCGAAAAATATATATTTAAAACAATAACAAATTTTCTGACTAAAAAAACATTGTTTTAACATCAATTTAAAGAAATATTTGACCACTTTTTTTAAAACTATTTTTTTTTTATATAAAAAATTATTTTGTAATTTTTCGTTTTTTTTTAACATTTGAACCCTTTTTTAAAACATTTGACCACTTTTGTTACGAAAATTTTTTTTAATTTTTTTTAACATTTGACCACTCTTTTTTGATATTTTTTTTTTCATTTTTGAAATAAAAAATATTTTTTAATTTTTCGTTTTTTTAAACATTTGACCCCTTTTTAAACATTTGACCATTTTATTTTTCGCTCTTTTTTATTTTTAATATAAAAAAATCTGTTTTAATTTTTCGTTTTTTTTTAACATTTGACCACTTTGTTTTTCGATAAATTTTTTTTTCATTTTTTTTACATAAAAAAATATTCTTTAAATTTTCGTTTTTTTTAAACATTTGACCCCTTTTTTCAGAACAAATAATTTTTTTTCTAGAAAAAAAATGTTTTATTTGATTTTTTTTTTAAAATTGACCACTTTTTTTTTCGATCATTTTTTTTTCATTTTTGATACCTATAAAAATATCTTAATTTTTCGATTTTTTAAACATTTGACCACTTTTTTTTCGCTCAAAAATAATTTTTTAAATTTTTTTGTAGGTATTTTTAATATAAAAAATTATTTTTTAATTTTTCGTTTTTTTTTAACATTTGACCACTTTTTTTTTTAATTCTGCGAGAATTTAATAATTACCGTATTCCTCAGGTTCCAAAGCCAAAATACAGTAAAACATGCTATTACTGGTCTCCATATAGCACTGATTGTTCAAGTGCCTGATGATTTTATCGTATGGGAATTGTTTTCTTGTTTTCAAGTAGGGAATCAGCAATAACTTCACATTGCTTGTTAACTGAGGTATTAAGAAGGAAGCTGTAAATCTGCTCAGTATAAATTCTTGCTTTAATTGATCCATTTTATTGATGTAAATGAATGGATTGTATATTAAGCCAAGCAGAATATTGTCTACATTATATGATGGCTTATCCATTAATATTCTCAGTTCAGTGTAATAACCTGGAAAAATTGTTATTGTATAATATGGGTAGGCAACCAAGATAATATATAAATATGTAATCTGGGTTGTCTACAATCTTATTTACCTTTTTTGATAAGATACTCCAAAGAATTTGGTGAATCAGAAAACGTACTCACAATTTCCAACATTTTATCGACCAAGTCCAAAGTGTTGAAAGTATTTAAACACAAAACAAGAAATCTCCTTATCAACCAATTAAAAGGTTCTTCTTGTCGGCTTTTTATCAAAATGTCTCTTTTATTTGCCAGCAAATAGTCAGTCACAGTAATCAGTCTATTTTTATCCAAAGGGGCATTATAAAAGAATAAAAACCTTGACAATTGTAGATGAATATTATCTTTTATTGCTATACCATCGAATTTTACCCTATTTTCCTCTTTAGCGTGTTTTCTTATCAAATAACTTCGAAATTGCGACTGGAGATACTCAGTGCTTTGCAACTTAACCCTTTGTTCCTAAAATATCGCATTAACACCGCAATATGCTTAATTACTTACAAATTACTTGTCTTTTGCGTCTTTCCTCATGCGTTTTTTGCAACAAACTATCCCTAGTAAGTTTCCTGCTAGCCCCTGACAAATTTTGTTCAGGTCTACTCCTGTAATCTCCTTCGAAACTGTAATTCATCCTGAATGCTACAAAACCACGCTTTTTACCGATATTAATTCATTTACTACCTTAATTACCCATTTTTCATAAAGCACAATATCTAATTTACACAATACAAATATTTTTGACGGAAATGAAATGTTATTTCTCGAAACGTCAAAAATCACGACGCCAACTGTTGGAAGTTGAAACTCCAACCAATGGAATGTGCCCCGCAGGATTTCCAACCAATAATTTAAAAGACAATAGTGCCGACCAAATAAATTTATGACATACGTCAAAATTAATAAATAAGGAACACAGAGCAGTAGCAAAAATGGACAAAAAAGAGACGTCGGAGTTGCAACAACTGGTTTCCAGTGATGCAGAGAACGAAGACAGCATTGTGCAAGATGAAACCATACAGGACAGCAAAATAGTGTCGCCTGTTAGAAGTAATATTGTAAGTGATAACAAAGGGGTCAATATTGTTTATTTAAAGGTGTTTTTGTAGATTTCTTCGTCGGGCAATACAAGCCATAGTTCTGTAACGCGGACACACAGTAAAGGAAACAATTTTGGCGGTAGTAAAATACAGTATGTTAACGAGAAAAAGATTGTTAAAGAAGTGCAGAAAAATGTCACTGCAAGGCCTAGAAATGTACATACAGGTGAGATTGTGTTATCACTGTATTATGTGTTGCCTAATATTAACTAAATTATGTTAAGTTGGTATTACTTTGTTTATAATTTGATTATTATTGTTTTTTTTTTATAATTTCTCACGTTTTATTTATTTTATTTCGTTTTTTTTACTTTTGCACGAGTAGACCCTAGCGCATCCGTAAAACATCATTCTTTTTTGTCACAAGTGCCAGATGTGAGGCATATGGAGAGAGCCTTATTGGGGCTTCTGGATGACTTCCATTCGGGTAAGTTGAGAGCCTTTGGAAGCGGCTGTACGATGGAACAAATGACGAATATAAGAGAGCAGCAGGAAAAACTGGCAAAGCTGCATTTTGACCTTGGAGCTGCAGCAGTCCCAAGTTTAAACGAGGAAAGTTTGCAGCGGCAAAAGAATAATATGAGTCAGCTGATACAGAGACTAGAACAGTTGAGTGTTTCTATCGAGGGGCTGCACAATAATACAAAGAAGTAGGGACTTTTTTAGGAGAAAATAAAACTATTAATTAAGGCTGTGTTTTATATAAAATTGTTTATTTAGTGGTTTAAGTTGTAATAAATAATACAAAAATCAGGTCCATTGTTTTCTTTGTCTTATTTTCTCTCTGTAAAAAAGAAAAGTAAATTAAATTTTTTTTTAAATTAATATAAAAATTACAAGTGGTCGGATTTTGATGACATTTTAAGGGTATACCATCAATATTACGACTTTTAAAATACCATCAAAAGAAAGAGGGTACTTTTATAAATACACACTGAAAATTTTATCAAAATTAAACAATATCTGTAAAAGTTACAAAGCGTTTAAAAAAGTTTGACATAGTGGGCGCCAATATGTCAAAAATGGAAATATGGGTTTAAGGCTATTTTTAAGGTAAGTATAACTTTTAAAATATCATCAAAACAAAGAGCGAACTTTTGTCTATATACCCTTAAATTTTTATCAAAATTAAACATAAATTGTGAAAGTTACAAACTTTTTAAAAAAGTTTGACATTTTTTATTGAATTTAATTTTGGTTAAATTGTATAATTTCCTGGTAAAAAATGAGAATTTAGTGTACTTACTGACTTTATTCTCAGCCGCGTTCGAAGCAGAGACAAAAGTTCTCTGCAATTTAGTTTTTTTAACTTCCCGATAATCCCTTGCAACATCCTTCGATAACTCTGCAATCCTTATCATCAAAGCAGCAGGATACCTGCAAAAACAACCATAAACACCTCAAACCATACAAAGCAAAAAAACTTACATGCACCCCATAAACTCAATATTAGTGAAAGTCCTGGCCAAAGCCACCAGATACTCTTCCGAAAATTTTCCCTTATGAACCCTCATAAATTCCTTTCTTAGCGCCCAATGATCGTCCGGCTCCGTATCGTCCCTGTAATCTTCTATATCCCAATCGGTGGGGAAAGTTTTAGCCATTTTATCTCTGATCACAACGAAACAACACGGATAACAAGTTAAAAGAATTTAAGGTTATGTTCCTTTTTTTGACAGCTGTCAGCGTGATAACTTCGGTTTGAATAAAAAGGTTCGTAAATGAGGGTTTTATTGTGTTGTGGGTGTTTTATACGCATATTAATGTGGAAATATAACCATAAGAATGTTCGTACTGTGTAAATTCTTGATTTTGTGATAATTTGAGGTTATACCATATGTCATGATGAAACAATTGCATTTTAGCTCACCATGGCCACCCCAGATGAAAAATACAACCTCCTGTCGAGAAATTTACAAGAAATTCTCGGTGAGGATAAAATTAAAACAATCCTAAAAGAAAGGGATTTGAAAATCTATTGGGGTACAGCCACTACAGGGAAGCCTCATATAGCCTATTTCGTGCCGATGTCGAAGATCGCCGATTTTCTGCGCGCTGGTGCCGAAGTTACCATTTTGTTTGCCGACTTGCACGCCTATTTGGACAACATGAAAGCTCCCTGGGAGTTGCTGGAGCTTCGTGTGCAATACTACGAGCACTCCATTAAAGCCATGCTTGCTTCCATTGGAGTGCCGCTGGATAAATTGAAGTTTGTTAAGGGTACGACTTTCGAATTGTCGAAAGAGTACACTCTGGATGTGTACAGGTTGAGTTCTGTCATTACTGAGCATGATGCTAAGAAGGCTGGGGCTGAAGTTGTCAAGCAGGTCGATCACCCATTGGTCAGCGGACTTTTGTACCCAGGTATGCTGATTTTTTGCACAAATTGATGTTAATATGTTGTAGGGGAATCCCATATTGAAATTAATTGTTTTTTAGGCTTACAGGCTTTAGATGAAGAATATTTAAAGGTGGATGCACAATTTGGCGGTATTGATCAACGAAAAATATTTACTTTTGCCGAAAAATACTTACCACAGCTGGGTTACCAAAAAAGGGCCCATCTTATGAATCCAATGGGTAAGTTTTTTAGCTTTTACATTAAAATAATTTTTTACATTTTTTTTTAAATCTGTAGATATTTTTCATATAAATAATCCTTTTGGAGCAATACACTTTAAATATTTATTGAATTTTCGCGTTTTTTATATAGTTATATAGTTTATATATAATAATAGTTAAACAGTTATATAAAATAGTCAAAAACAACTTTTTAAATTTCGCGTTTTTTATGTTTAGAAACTAAACTATTAATAATAATTCAAAAAGTTAAAACTAAAATTTCTAGTTTATTTCATTCCCTACACATTTGTGAAGAACATTTTTTTTATATATTTAATAGTTAAAAAGTTATATGCCATTAAGTGAAAAATATTTTTTTAAATTTCGCGTTTTTTAGATTTAGAAACTAATCTAGGTATTGATAATAGGTCAAAAAGTTAAAAGGAAAATTTCTAGACTATTTTATTCCCTACAAATTTCTGAAAAACATTAAAAACATTAAATTTGGCGTTTTTTATGTGTAGAAAAGAAACTATTAATAATAGGTGAAAAAGTTAAGAAGACAATTTGTAGTTAAATTAATTTCTACAAATTTGTTTATAACAATTTTTTTATTTACTTAATGGTTAAAAAGTTATATACTCATAAAGTCAAAAATACTTTTTAAATTTTGCGTTTTTTAGGTTTAGAAACTAAAATTTTGATAATAATGAAAAGTTAAAAGGAAAATTTTTAGCCCATTTTATTCCCTACAAATTTCTTGAAAACAAGTTTTTATATCTTTAATAGTTAAAATAAAAAAATACTCATCAAGTCAAAAGTAACTTTTTAAATTTGGCGTTTTTTATGTTTAGAAAAGAAACTATTAATAATAGGTCAAAAAGTTAAAAATAAAATTTGTAGTTTATTTAATTCCCTACAAATTTTTAAGAAACAATTTTTTTATATCTTTAATAGTTAAAAAGTTATATGCTCATCAAGTCAAAAATACTTTTTTAAATTTCGCGTTTTTTAGATTTGGAAACTAAACTATTGATAATAGGTCAAAAAGTTAAAAGGAACATTTCTAGCCTATTTTATTCCCTGCAAATTTCCTAAAAACAAGTTGGTATATCTTTAATAGTTAAAAAGTTATATACTCATCAAGTCAAAAGTAACTTTTTAAATTTGGCGTTTTTTATGTTTAGAAACTAAACTATTAATAATAGGTCAAAAAGTTAAAAAGAAAATTTGTAGTTTATTTAATTTCCTACAAATTTGTAAACAACAATTTTTTATCATCTTTAATGGGTAAAAATACTTTTTTAAATTTCGCGTTTTTTATGTTTAGAAACTAAACTATTAATATTAGGTCAAAAAGTTAAAAAGAAAATTTGTAGTTTATTTAATTCCTTACAAATTTGTTAATAGCAATTTTTTTATATCTTTTATATTTAAAAAGTTATATGCTGATCAAGTCAAAAATACTTTTTATAAATTTTGCGTTTTTAAGGTTTAGAAACTAAACCATTGAAATAGGTCAAAAATTTAAAAGGAAAATTTCTAGCGTATTTTATTTCCTACAAATTTCTTAAAAAAGTTTGTATATCTTTAATATTTAAAAACTTATATACTCATCAAGTCAAAAGTAACTTTTTAAATTTGGCGTTTTTTATGTTTAGAAACTAAACTATTAATAATAGGTCAAAAAGTTAAAAAGAAAATTTGTAGTTTATTTAATTTCCTAAAAATTTGTGAACAACAATTTTGTGTCATCTTTAATGGATAAAAAGTTATGCATTAATATTAGGTCAAAAAGTTAAAAAGAAAATTTGTGGTTTATTTAATTTCCTACAAATTTGTTAAAAACAATTTGTTTATATCTTTAATAGTTTAAAAGTTATATGCTGATCAAGTCAAAAATACTTTTTATAAATTTTGCGTTTTTTAGGTTTAGAAACTGAACTATTGATAATAGGTCAAAAAGTTAAAAAGAAAATGTTTAGCCCATTTTATTTCCTTCAAATTTATTAAAAACAAGTTTGTATATCTTTAATAGTTAAAAAGTTATACACTCAAAAAGTCAAAAGTAACTTTTTAAATTTGGCGTTTTTTATGTTTAGAAGCTAAACTATTAATAATAGGTCAAAAAGTTAAAAAGAAAATTTGTAGTTTATTTAATTCCCTACAAATTTGCTGAACACATTTTTTTTTATATCTTTAATAGTAAAAAAGTTATATGCGCATTAAGTCTTATTTTATTTCCTCAACTTTTTAAATATTAATGCTATAATAAAACTGTAAGGAACAATTTTTTAGGTAATTAAATGTACTATAAATTTGCTAAATAACTTTTTATCCCATCATGAATTGTTTAGTTTTTAGGCTTAAATATAGATTACTTTGATAATTTTTTTTAATGTATTTAACTGAGCGATAGAAACTTGGGTTTCTTGTAGAGAATTCAATGCCACCTATATACTAATTAATGTTTTTCTCAGTGCCTGGTTTGACAGGGAACAAAATGTCTTCGTCTGAAGAAGACAGCAAAATAGATCTCCTGGATTCGCCATCCAACGTGAAAAAGAAGCTCAAAAAAGCCTTCTGCGAGCCGGGTAACATCGACAACAACGGCGTGCTGTCATTCTCGAAGCACGTAATTTTCCCGCTGCTGAAACCGGAAGAAAAGTTCGTCGTGCCGCGAAAACCGGAAAACGGCGGAGACTCTTTTTTCGAAACTTTCGAAAAGTTACAGGAAGCCTTCGCGAAGGAGGAAGTCCACCCCGCCGATCTCAAATCGGGCGTCGAATTTTACATCAACAGACTTTTGGAGCCGATTATCAAAACTTTCCAGGACCCCAAACTGAAGCAACTGGCGGAAAAGGCCTATCCCGCCCCTGGAAAACAAAGTGAGTAGTGCAAACTTTTTTTTGTTTTAATCCTGAAGGTCCTAGAGGTGGAATGCCGAAAGCCAGGGTCCCTGCTCGGGCGCCAAATCCCCGTTTCTTATTGGTCAAAACAAAAAAATTTCAAGACGAAAAATGTAGGGCTCAACATTTTCAACAAATTTGTCTCCATGCAAAACTTTCTGAATTCAGTTCCCAAGAAGATAGAGGGCTCTAAAGATAACAAAAATTAGTTTTTTTAAATTTTGACCCTCTAAAATAGATTAAAACTAAAAGTGCCAAATAAAAAAGTTGTAGATTTCAAAATTATCTATAAAAAATATAAGAAGTTTTTTAGCATTTGGTCAACCGTTTACGAGTTACAGCGGCTTAAAGTTAGGTACGTTGCATGATACAAAAAAAAAATTTAAATGATATTTTACCAAGTCACAAGAAAATATTATTAATGAAAAAAACTATTTTATATGATTTTCCAATGAAATAAAATATATTGTTTTAAAGTAAACAATATTTACTAAATACCAAATAAAATATATGAAAAATTTAATTGTTTTTAGGTTAAGTGTTTTAAATTATGGGTTGTCAAATAAAATATCGTTTTAAAGCAGCTACACATTTTTTACACTTAAAAAACAACGCCAAAAAAATCAACTATTTTTTTTTTGAAAAGTATATCGAAAATATGGTTTGGGGTGACAAAAAAAATATTCTGAAAGTTTGAGTCCATAATATTAATATTAAGAGGTCTATCATCGCAATTTTAATTTTTTTTCTCAGCAAGATTTAGGCTCAGAACTCCCAAACCATTGAGTTTAACAAAATTGACTTAAAAATATTTTTTAAGAAAATTAAATGCTCTACAAAAAAGTTTAAAGTGAAATTTTCCGTCAGATGAACCGTTTCCTTAAAATCATGCCTTAAAAATTGGTATAGTTTTACATTTTGATCTTTTAAATTGGAATTTTGTAATTCATGTAAAAATCGGTTCCCATAAAAAACCGATAAATATTCTTATGGAAAATCAAATGCTCTACAAAAAAAGTCTCCTAACATTTTTGGCTAAATTCACTCAATAAAAAGTTATTCAAGGTTAAAATTTCGTTTTGACTTCAAATTTAACCTTGAATAACTTTTGATGGAGGGAATTTAGCCAAAAATGATAAAAGATTTTTTTTGTAGAGCATTTGATCGTTTTTTTTTTCAGGGTTCTGATTTTTACTTGAATTACAAAATTCCAAAGCTAAAAGATCAAATTGTAAAATTATACCAATTTTTAAGGCATGATTGTAAGAAAAGGGTTCATCTGACGGGAATTTCCAATCAAACCTTTTTTGTAGAGCATTCAATTTTCTTCAAAAAATATTCCCAAGTCAAATTTGTTAAACTCAATGATTTGGAAAAAAAATCTAAAATTGCGATGATAGACCTCTTAATATTAATATTATGGACTCAAACTTTCACCATAATTTTTTTTTGTCACCCCAAACAATATTTTCGATATATTTTCAAAAAAAAATAGTCGATTTTTTTGGCCCAGTCTAATGTTTTTATATGAAAAAAAGCTGAATATATACATATATTTTAGCGAATGCTGTTTGTGATAAGGACCAGGACCCTGAGATAGTATTTTTCGATCTCGAGACTGGAGGCTTATCTTTACAGGAAGACATTCTTCAGATTGGACTTCTACACCAGAAAAACTCTGAAGGAATATATATAACGCCTACGAAACAAATGTCTGCACAGGCTTCGGCCGTCAATAACTTAACCATTATAAACGGGGGATTGTTTTTCCATTGTCAACGGGTAGCATCAGTGCCACTTGAAGTAGCACTGCAAAAAATGCTGGACTTTCTCTTGGCCATAAACAAGCCCTGTATTCTGGTAGCGCACAACGCAAACTTTGACAGTTCTCATTTAATAAACGCCTTATTAAAAACCGGATTAATTAACGAATTTAGTGAGGTTATAATCGGATTTGTAGACACCTTGCGGCTTTTTAGAAACGTGTTGAATCGCAAATATAACTGCTCCCTGTCTTATCTTGCGGAAGAAGCGAATATTGACGTAAGCGGGGCACACAACGCCATAGCAGATGTTAAAATCTTGCAAAAACTGATTGAGCACCACCAAATTCACAAAGAACTGCTTTTAAGCGAGATTATCCGATTTAAAGTCGCGGTTTTAAAACAAATTACCAAAAAGAAATAGACGCGATCTTTTAATAACTCTAGTAAGGTCCAAATGTTTTTATTATCTAAATTTATAATAATTTTTTGATGACAAACTTTACAAAGCACTTTTATACTTTTGATTTTGATTTTCACTAAAAAATTTGACAAAATAACACTGACATTTTAAAAGCCGATAAAACAGATTCCAAACATCAATTTTTTCACACTATTTTGTATATTTTGTAGTAATATTAAAACTTTTTATTTTATTTATTCATTTTAAAAATCATTTAATAATCCATCTCTCATATTATTATGTATCCTTATTAAACTAGTTTCTTAATATACTTACTAGTATTTTTTGTATTATTTTATAACCACAATAAAAATTGTAATTTTAAGGTGTGTCATTGGTTAATTAAAAAATATGCACTAACCAAAGATATTATCTTTGCTTATAACTCCAAAATACACGTGTCGACCAAAATAATATTCAAAACTTCTGTACACTTAAAACGTCAAATAATCTAGAAACGTCAACTTGACGTTTAAAAATCCAAGGTGTCTAGATGAAGTCGGGTCGTCTGGTTAATTTCGCCAAGGTGCATACAAGAACAGGTCCTTCACAAACGTTTTACTTGTTTTAGAGGGCGGAAATCAAACTGCGGCTGTAGAAGAAATTGTGGCGAGTCGTTTGGACTTAAGGGTGGGCAAAATAGTGGAAGTAAACGTGCACCCGGACGCTGAGAGTTTGTACGTGAGCAAAATCGACTTGGGTGAAGAGCAACCCAGAACAATCGTAAGCGGTTTGGTTAAATACATCTCAATCGAAGAAATGAGAGGTAGAAGTGTTGTTGTTCTATGCAACTTGAAACCGGCCAAGTTGAGGGGCATCGAATCCCACGGCATGGTTTTGTGCTGCAAGATTGAAGAGGAGGATAAACTGGAAACCCTGATCCCCCCAGAAGATTCCCTCCCAGGCGAGAGAATCCTCATCGAAAACTATGAAGATGGTAACCCCGATGAAGTTTTGAACCCCAAGAAAAAAGTATGGGAAAAAATCGCCGTGGATCTTAAAACAAATGCCAACTGCGTGGCACAGTGGCAAGGAAATAATTTGCTCACCAAATCCGGGGGAAATATCACCACCAAAGCAATTCCTAATACACTAATAAGGTAGATGTAAGAACAAATTTTATTTATTGCATTTATTATGAATAAACAATAATTATTTAACTGGTGTTTATTTTTTCCTAAAAACAATCCTCTTCACTTGTGTGGGAATTAGGTTAGTTAATTTTTTTACAGATTTTTCTATTACCACTGGCGTTTCTACAGTTTTACTACAACTAGGTAATACTTCTTTACAACTTTCTTCATAACTTTGCAAAATTGGATCATCCTTGCAATAAATATCCATAATTGCAACCTTACCACTTTTAACTTTCTTTTTATCACTTTTAAAACTGCCAAAATCTTTCCTTTTAACTTGTGGTACAAAACCCTCAACTTTTGGTAACCTCCTCAAAACATCCGTATTTCTTTGCTGCAACTTCACTCTGGTCTCCTCCACACTCTCAAACTCAGGGGCGTAACACACGTGCAAAACCCCCCCGTAAAAAGACCTCGTATCAATCAACCTCTTCGCAATTCTAGCTGATTGTATTCTATCAAACACCACATGATAACATTCGGTGAATATTTCAGTCTTATAACCTTCAGTAGCGTGAATATTCGTTACTGTGCCGTATCTTGAACACAGCGTTTTTAATTCTGAGCGTAGGTTTATTTTGGGCACCCCGTATATGAATAAGTGTTGAGATTCGTTGTTTACCGTGTATACCTATGGAAAAATTCAAAAGTTGCTTTTTATCGCTTATTTCTACGGTTTATATACCTTGACGGCGGTTAATTTTTTCCCCTGTCTATATGCAGGCCTTGTGGTGCATAATTCCAATTGTTTGTGGTGATTTTCTTCCTTTAAACCATCATTTTCAACGTTTGTTGACATTTTGTTTTGAGGTTATGTTTCGAACGTTTGGGGCTTAAACAGCGTTGCCGCCTTGTTACCACAGAACAAACAGTGTTGCTACCTATAAATTTTTTTTCGTAACAGACGCATGCGTCAAAATGTAATAGATTTGGGATTAAAGGTAATAGCATATATTTATCACTGTGATATAGTGATAGATATATGGGTACTAGACTATTTTGAATCAAATTTTTTTGATTCTTTGACGTTTTACCGTTGCATTTAGAATAAATAATTTTAATAATAATTTTAGTAAAAACTTTATAAACACAAATTATTTAAGTACAAATACTCAAGCAGTGTTGCCAGACGTACGATAATTTTCCATAAAATAAATAATTATCCTTTTTGTACGATAATTATATGTACGTACAATGTACGAAATCACATGTAAGATAAAATCAAAATGTACAATAATTTTATATAAATAAATCAAATTGCCAAAGGGAATAAAACTACCCAATATTAACAAAATCTTAAATTTTGGATAAACAATAAGTTTATTTTAATTAAATATTAAAATATATAACAAGATTTAAATTATTTATATTATAAAAACAAAACAAAAAATTAATTCTACAATAGCTTTGAATCAAAACTTTTGATGCGCTGCGACAATATTTTTTGTGGTGTGTCTAACAAGTTGCCAGTGGCAACAATGCACGCAAGAGTGCACTCATCTTATTAACAGATGGCAGCACAGAAAAATAACACTTGGCGAGTGCGTTCAGAAATTTTTGTTTCAAAATTACTAAACTCGCTTCAGATAGTGAAATATGCCATATTATGGCAGGACCTCAATAGAATATTTAAAAAAATAATTCCTACCAGGAAACAAAAGTAATAGATTTACATCGTTTCGTAATAGGGTAATATATTTTCGCTGAAAGTAACAGATCTATTACTAAAGTAATAGTGGTGGCAACACTGAGAACAAATCATAAAGTTCATTGTTTTTATCTGGACTGCGGCAACGTTGCAAATTTAGGGTTTTGGTTGGTAAATACGGGACCAAAATTGGTTGCATTGATTAAAACAAACTAAACTAGTTATAAATGTAATTGTGGTTATTTTTAATTTATTGTAGGTTACATTGAACGGTTTAGTTGTCAAAATTCGTAGTTAAAAATGCAATTAATTTGGCTTATATATATTTTATATTTGATTCGATTGCTTTGGATGTGTTTAATTTACTTAATGAAGTGATATTTTTAGTATGCTTTTACTACCTCAGATATTTGAAAACATATAGGTTAACCTAGAAAGAGTAACAGTCACGGAGGATAGGTTTTAGACTTTTAAAACATTGTATAAATAATTAATTGCGGTTAAAAATGCGGAACCTGAGCTGTAATATCTACTTAATTATGAAACATCAAAATATAATAATTAATAAGTAAATTATGAATAATAAATATTACTTTCAATTTGACAGTGTCAAAGTATTTAATTAATGTCTTCAGCAGAAGTACCATCTTTTAAATACTAAATCAAAGTGGCATAACCTACCAATTTAATAAAAAAAATGATCTGTATATTGGCGCCCATAAAATTTCAAATCTTTCTAATTTGGTTTGATCTGTGATTTGCAGAACCTTTTCCCGCCGAATAAAATGGACCAATGAGAACATAATTTGTAATTTGTCTTTTGTGGGGCGGTTTATTTAAAAAATAAAACAAGCAAAAAATGTAGGTAGGTATATTTATTTAATATAGTCGCAAAATGAATACCTGAAAAGTATTATGGTTGATGTTCGAAGTACACTGCATTCTGTAAAAGAATTAAATCGATTAGTAAAAATAAACACCCACTAATATATAAATAATAGTTACAATTAAGAATGAGGCTCCCAGCAAAACAGCTTTCATGCTCACATCCAGGTCCATGGGAAAGGTGATCACAAAGTCTGCATCATTCCGTGAACCTAATTCATACCAAGAGATTTTGCCCTGAACGCGGCCATCTGCCGACATTATTTTGAACTTGACGGAACCGCAGCAAAGGTTTTTACGAAACGGGCCCTCGATTCTCAAAACGGTTTCGCCGCTGGCATTTTTGACGGCGTATTTCGGCAGGAGAATGCTCCATTCTTCGTCGACTCTACCCGCAACGATTCCCGGGGAAGATAAGACTTCGATGCTCTGCATGCAACATGGGAAAAAGCACCCCTGGCAGGCAAGCGGCCGATACAAATGTATCGCTTCGTTTATGTATTTATCAAAAATCTTCATGTCAAACGGTCGAAGTCCTTGCAAGAGGGAGCCGTCCGAGTCTTCTTCAACGTAATAAACTTTTTGGCCACTGCTGTTGTTTATTAAGAATCCGTCTAAAAATTAGCAGGGTACAGCCGTTTTAGTTATAGACCAGTGCAGAAGCCTTTAAAAATGGTAAAAAGAGAAAAAAAATAACAGTAGGATGAAACCCATTGGAAAAGGAGGGGAATATAATAAAAATTAAAGGAAAAATAAATTACGGGCGATCTGAGTTCGGGAAGTGGGAGGGGGGGGTTTTAAGGGTAAGAAATGGTTTATCTCGATTTCCGGCAAAACTACAAGTCCTATGGAAAAAAGTTAAATGTCAAAGTTGTAGGTAATTTTTTTTGAAAAAGATAAAAATAAAAAACCAAAAACTTGGTTTTTTGAATTTTTCACATAAATTTTGAGGTTATGTAAAAAAATTGTAATTACAAAAGTTGTAGATCCTTTTATTACCTACAACTTTGCCATTTAACTTTTTTCCATAGGACTTGTAGTTTTGCCGGAAATCGAGATAAACCATTTTTTACCCTTAAAACCCCCCCCCCTCCCACTTCCCGAAGTCAGATCGCCCGTAATTTATTTTTCCTTTCATTTTTATTATATTCTTCTCCTTTTCCAATGGGTTTCATCCTACTGTTATTTTTTTTGGTTTCAAAAATTATCGACCCTGGTCTATTAATATTATTTGTTTTTAACATTTTTTAAATAAAAATCATTTTTATGATTCTTTATTTATATAATTACATTTAATTGATTGTTTAAAAACCCTGCCCATATAGATTGAATGATGAAAAAAAAATGTTTCTTTATATTTAAATTTTTATTTTAAGTTTTTATATTTAGATAATGAATTAAATTTATCATGTAACAAATTAATTCAACAATCATTTTAATTCAACTAACATAAAAATAGCCACCATTTAAATGAAAGAATTAAAATTATAAACAAACAATTTAATTCAAACATAATAATGTAGCGAATTATTTTGACTGATAAATTAAAATTATTGTTTATTTAAAATGTTTGTTGATATAAAATGTTACATGATAATTTTAAATGGAATTAATATGATTGTTCAATTAAAATGATTGTTGCAATAATTTTAATTGGGCGCTGAAGTTTGCGGACAGATTAGGTACTAAATTTGGGTCTACGCTGGAATTTGAGTTTAAATTAAATAAATGTAACATACCTCGGTGTAGTTCTTCCACGTAAATTTTTTGAACCAGTAGTTGATCAACCATGGTAAGGGATTCCAGTCCTGTTGGACAATTGGGAATCTGTTGCGGAAAATTCATCCATCCTCCTTAGAATATCAGAGTAGTATTAGAGTATCAAGAACAGAATAGAAGATGCTCCGCTTTGCACTTTTCGATTTTACATAAGAATAACATGGAAAAAATTATTTTTGTTTTTTTCTGATTTTTGTAACTAACGAACTATAGGTCGTACTGTAAAGTTCTTAACATATTTTTCTAGAGAATTGAACGCTTTACGAAAAAGGTTTCTTATGATTTTTTGATAAATTTGATCCTTATAATTATACCGTATAATTTATACGAAATTTTTGGGTTTTTTAACTGTTTTGGCAAATCTACCCGATTCATTTAAACATTTTTGGAATATTTTTTTAGAGAATTGGACGCTCTAAAAAAAGGTCAAGAGTCATTTTTTGGTAAGTTAATTGGTTAAAAGTTATTCAAGGTTAAAGTGAAATTCAGCAGTTTTTTCGAAAAAAACTCCTGGATTTTTTAGTTCAAAGGGCTAAAAACGAATCGAAATTTTGTTTTTGAGCTCGAAATTCGAAAAAACATAACTACCCTATCGATAAATATGAAAACAATTAAAGAACCATAGATCATAAAACTTAAAGAACCTAATGAAATTCACATACTACCTACTACTGGAAGTATGTGAAGACATTTACTCTTAACGCCATCTACTTGTCAAATCTAAAATTACAACACCAAAACGACTGTATTAGAAATACCTATAAGTAGGTACTTAAGTACAAAAACTAACATTTTTACTAATTCAATTTTAGAATAAAAGTTCGTTACACTTATATTTAAAATAATATCTAATAAAAAACTTTCGTGATACATCTGATTATAAAATAATAAAATTTCGAAAATTATAATTATCGTTTGCAGTTGTAGTTTCTAAAATGTCATTAAAGTAACTAAAAAAAAGTTTTTTGGAAAAACTTTGTTAATAGCTCCACGTGAGTGTAGGTTAAAACATTTAAGTTTTTATTTCAATTGAAATAAAAACTTAAATGTAAATATTAATATTTTATTTTTAATAACGAAATGCTTACTTACCGTTTTGGGGGGTTGGGCCGGGTTGGGTGGTCGTGGGTTGGTATCCTGGAGGCGATGCATTAAACATCTTGGTCAATGTTCACATAACCTAAATAAAAAGTTAAAAATTAGACTTCTGCACACCAAAGTCTATTCATTTAACAGACGGAGCAAATAAAAACAATCACTAAAACCAAACTGAAATAATATATTTATAAATATCTTATTTAATCCTATTTAATAATTATCAATCTCTAATTTTATCCCTTTTTGAAAATAAATATATAATATAAATAATGTGTATATAATAGAAGTTAACTATACCTAAGTATACTTACCTAGGTCACAACTTTTAAAATGAGAATGCTCAAAAATTGTAATTGTGTTTATGTTTATCGTGGTTAAACCACATCCTTTTCCTAATTTTAATTAGGCGAAGTGAAAATTTGAGCATTGCCGGTTTTAAAAAATACTATATTTTTGTCTCTATTTGGAAAGTATAATAAATACTTTTTAATAAATTGCATAAAAAGCATTTAACAATAATAAACACACAAGATTTTATAATGGCATGTTTATAACTTGGCAACGTCGTATTTCGACCACGATAGCTAAAAGGTTTTTATCATAGACATATTAATATGTACCTGGTTTTTATGATTAACCATTTTGTTTGTTTTCTGTTGTGTAACAATTGTTTTGCCATTGTTTTTACGAGATTTTTAGTTGATTTTACGTAATATGCATATTATGCAAATTTTTTGTTTATATAAAAGTTTAATAAAACCTAAATTTTATTTGGTTGACAATACGTATCATACGTGGACGTATTAATATGTCTATGGTATCATAATAATGCAAATCGACAAATTTCCCCTTAAAAAAGGAAACAAGGTCATCACAAAATATAACGAATTAGCAGTAAATGTGTAAAAGTATGTGGGTGAAACCACAGATAAGTTATCTCAGATTTAAAAAGTGAAATTATCGAACAGGGTTGACAAAATTATCAATTATGTTATAATAATTATATTATAAGATTTAATAGGAAAAGGGTAAAATATAAACCCCAAATCTTAAATTATTATATTATATTATGTTTATTGAATGGGGTAGTTAAATTTTTTCTGACCTATACTTTTTATGGTTTTATTCAAGGGGTTTTGTAATATTAAACATTTCTGTGAAATCAGAATTTCAATTGAGTTTACCGTTTTCGAGATATTTACAAAAAATATACATTTTTATGACGTCACAAACCTCACCATGTGACCAACATTCTAAGATTTCTATTGGTTGAAAATTACCCTGTTGTCAAGTTGTCTTGTTAATGATTTCATTCGGTTATGTCAGAAAATACCCGAAGAGGTTATGTACAAATACTGTCACTGTCAGTTGAGTGAAAGATGGTCACCAAATTCATTAAGTACCTATCTTACTTATAACGAGGTATCATATTACTGTTTGATATTTTAGAGTCCAAGATATATCTAAAAGAATATAAAGAACTAGGCATTATACTAATGAAATGCATTTACGACAAAATATGATTATAATTATAGGTATTTACTTTATTTGTTTAAAAGCTCCAATGTTCAATGTAACCAACCATTCCACAAGATTCCTCTGCTTTGGAGTCCGTTATTAATAAATCACTTATCTAATATCAATTACTTACAAATAACATAACAATAACATTGATTTTCAATAATCTAAATTTAAAAAAAACAACCCGAAAAAAAGAAACGTCAAAAAATCAATTCTTCTTCTTCTTCTCAACTAAAATTTTAGATCAAGTAGTTTTAAAACTAAAATATTATAACGTGGCGCCATCTATCGTGAGAATCTTAAACTAAACACCATAGAAAAAGCTGGCAACGTTGTCAATAGCCTACTGACGTAATTAGGAGACTTTTTTTTGTAAATATCTCGAAAACGGTAAACTTAATTAAAATTCCGATTTCACAAAGATGTTTAAAATTACAAAACGCCTTGAATAAAACCATAAAAAGTATAGGTCAGAAAAAATTTAACTACCCCATTGATTCATTCCTTTATTAGTTTTGATATCTAATATTTGTAACCATCCGGTTGATAACCGACTAATATGCATTTATTTTACTTTTTGTTAAATTTATATTTTCTGATCTTATTACGAATATAAGCGGTAGAACCGAATATTTTTAAATGATTTATTCTGGGCTTTTTATCATGCCATAGTTCAGTTTTTAACTGCTTTAAGAACATAATTTGTCTTTTGTAGGGCGGTTTATTTAAAAAATAAAACAAAAAAATAATGTTGTATATATTCCTATAGGAATACTTATTTAATATAATGGCAAAATACATAATTGAAAAGGCTTATTTTTCGTAGTACATTGCATCCTGTAAAAGAAATAAATAGATTAGTAAAAATAAACACCAACTAATATTCAGTTGGCAACATATGGGTAACTTTTTTATTATTAATTTTAAGAAAAAAAGTTATTCTTCATAAAAAGTTCTGCACGTTCTAAAATCTAAAATACAATCATCAGACATAAAAAATTTCAGTCGTATACGCGGTTCGTCAAAAAATATGAATCACCTTTATATTTGACATTATCGAAAATTCTTATAAAAAAAAGTTGATCATAACTAAAAACTACGTTTAAATATGCAATTATTTCCATTTGTTTACAATACAATTTTTTTTTAAGTAGAAGGATGTAATTGCATATTAAAACATAGTTTTTCATTCCGAAAAACTTTTCGTAATTATAGTTTTCGATATTGTGACAAATAAAGGTACTTTACTCTTGTACCAAATTCATATTTTTTGTTAAACCTCGTATATGGCTGTAAAAATTTGATATCTGATGATTTTATTTTAGATTTTAGAACGTGCAGAACTTTTTATAAAGAATAACTTTTCTTCGTAAAATTAATAATAAGAAAGTTTCCCATATGTTGCCAACTTAACACTGTATAAATAATAGTTACAATTAAGAAGCAAGCTCCCAGCAAAACAGCTTTCATCCCAACATCCAAGTCCACCCTGGGCAGGGTGATCTTGAAGTTGTCAGCGTCAGTGCACATTTTCTTGAACAGTCCAGACCTCTGCTTGGAGATTTTGCCCAACTGAACGCTGCCATCTGCTGACATTATTTTGAACTTAAGATGTCCGCTGGAGCCCTTGATTCTCAAAACGGTTTCGCCGCTGGCATTTTTGATGGCGTATTTCGGGCGGAAAATGCCCCCTTCTGGGTCAATTCTACCCGCAACGGTTCCCGGGGAAGATAAGACTTCCATGCTCTGCCATCTGAAGGAGAACGGCCGATATAAATGAATCACTTCGTTATTGTAATTATCAAAAATTTTCATGTCAAACGGTCGTAGTGAGCCCCAAGCGTTTACTTTCAACCAGTTGTCTTCTTTAGCGTGAAAAACTATTAGGCCAAGACTGTTTTTTATTGTGAATTTGTGTTTAGTCTCATATCCAGTCAGAACTAAAAAGAAAATAGCCGTTTTTGTATTATGATATTGAATAGATTGTAAGAGTTTATTTCAAATTTACCGCCAAATTAACAGTTGGTATTGGAAGTAACCAAACTAGTGACTTTTAAGTTGGCAGTCTGAAATCCGCCATGTTATTTTTTACAATGTTTTAAAAGTCTAAAACCTATCCTCCGTGACTGTTACTCTTTCTAGGTTAACCTATATGTTTTCAAATATCTGAGGTAGTAAAAGCATACTAAAAATATCAGTTAATTAAAAACATCCAAAGCAATCGAATCATATATAAAATATTATTATAACCATTTATGTAGGTGTTACATTACTTTAAATTTTATGCAACGGATGGCTGAAGGTCAGTAAGAATCTATAGATTCTTACTGACCTTATATATATGCAGTTGAGAGTGTTGCTGTTTTATAATTCAAAAGTTTAAGTTCATTAATTTTATTTTCATATTCGTCTGTTGGCAACACGCGCTATTTTTATTTTTGGGGGAAAAACGAAAAACCCAAAAACGTTTTTTTTATTTCATTTAAATGAGAGTTACATTTCAGGGAAATTTGGTAGATTTTTAAAGTCGTATAAATTCTAGAACTAGAGTTGAAATAAAAAAAATTTAACAAATATGGTATACCTTCCAAGCGTTCAACTTTTTGGTGGACCAGTAGTTGATCAATCATTGAAAGTCCTTCTAGTCCTGGAGGTGGTGCATACGACATCTCAGTCAATGTTTACTTAACCTAAATAAAAAGTTAAAAATTAGACTTCTGTACACCAAAGTCTATTCATTTAACAAACGGAGCAAATAAAAACAATCACGAAAACCAAAGATCTTTATAACATTTAAATAATGTATTTATAAATATATTATTTAATCATATTTAATAATAATTATTATCAATCTCTAATTTTATGACTATAGTTCCCTTTTTGAAAAGAAAGGTACTTACCTATATAGTTTTATATATATATATATATATTTATATTTTTCTTAAAACTATATTTAAAAATTAAAAAAACTGCCACATCTAACCTATAGGTCACAACTTTAAAAATGTTCAAAAATTGTAGTTAAACCCATTTACATGTGTTTATGTGTACCGTGGTTAAACCACATAGCTAGGCAGATTGCGACCACTTCCACATACATACATACATATGTATACAAATCATTTCTGAGTCTGGTTCCTGACGTTTTTATACAAAATAGCCTTTTCTTAGAACCCTATAATTACAAGGAAACAATAAAATTAATTTTATCAAGTACAAATAAAAAATCTTCTGGCCATGATGAAATACCCTGTAATATTTTAAAACATATTGCAGAAATTATTGCTCCTTGTTTAACTTTTTTAATAAATTTATCGTTTGAAAAAGGCTATTTTCCTCGACAAGCAAAAAACCCATAATAATACCTATCTTTGAAAAAGAAAACCAATCTAATTTGTTAAATTATAGACCAGTTTCCCTCTTGAGTATATTTTTAAAAAAATTTGAAAGAGCCTTTTGTAATAGAGTTAGTTCATTTACCTACAAGTACAATTTAATGACTGAAAGGACAGTCAACACAAACAAGATGTCGGTATAAAATAATAAACCATCTTCTAAAAACTA